GATTTTCAACTGCTAGGATAAACCTTTATTATTTATTAAATAAAAAACAACCTAAGATCTATCATAAGAGTACAATACACGATACTACTAAAGGCCTATTACTTCCTCATTTTTGTTTAACTGCTAGGACCTATCGTAGTATGAGTGCAATACACTATACTGTTATATTACTACTCCATTTTATACCCCCATTGTTTACTATCGTAGTAAGGGCACAATACACTAAACTACAATATTCCTCCCTCATTTTTTAACTGCTAGGATGTATCGTAGTAAGGGTATAATACACTAAACTACAATATTCCTCCCTCATTTTTTAACTGCTAGGTTCTATCGTAGTAAGGGAACAATACACTAAACTACAATATTCCTCCCTCATTTTTTAACTGCTAGGATGTATCGTAGTAAGGGTATAATACACTAAACTACAATATTCCTCCCTCATTTTTTAACTGCTAGGTTCTATCGTAGTAAGGGAACAATACACTAAACTACAATATTCCTCCCTCATTTTTTAACTGCTAGGATGTATCGTAGTAAGGGTATAATACACTAAACTACTATATTCCTCCCTCATTTTTTAACTGCTAGGATCTATCGTAGTAAGGGTACAATACACGTAACTACTATATTCCTCCCTCATTTTTTAACTGCTAGGTTCTATCGTAGTAAGAGTACAATACACTAAACTACAATATTCATCCTTCATTTTTTAGTTGCTAGGATGTATCGTAGTAAGGGTACAATACACTAAACTACAATATTCCTCCCTCATTTTTTAACTGCTAGGATCTATCGTAGTAAGGGTACAATACACTAAACTACTATATTCCTCCCTCATTTTTTAAACTGCTAGGTTCTATCGTAGTAAGAGTACAATACACGCTACTACTATCTTGTTCCCTGAATGAAAAAACCAACAGCAGCAATTTGATTTGCCCGACCTTGCCTGAATGGAATGATTATTTCCAGACTGTGGCTGGTGGCTAGCGCTGGCCAGGGCACACAGTCAATATTGACCTCCCACTCGTGACTACAGGTCATATGTTGACAGGGCAGGATAATGACACAAGAACAAGAGAGCCAGTGTTGGGGGGGGGGGGGGGGGTGATGCCCTGTTGTCCTGCTGGTGCTAGAATCCTGGGATATCAGCCTCACGTTAACTCCACGTATAAATTTTAATAAAGCACCAGGGGTTCATTCAGACAGTTTTGTGGAGGGGGGAGGAGGCCTTGAAACCTGAGGGTGGGGGGTTTCACTTAAAATTTTCAAGAAGAAGGGGGCACTGGTATGGTTATAACTAGACATCAACAACTAATGAGCTCCACTGGGAACGTTACATTTTTTTTGGTGTTCAAATCAACTTTTAAAATGGACGTACACAGCAATTAAGATATGAAGTGTTGCTTGAAAAAAGATCAAAATTTATTACAACAAGTTCATATTATATAATTATATCATGTTGGGCCACATAATATACTTTGTAATAAGAAAACTTCAATTTTGATTAACATAGCCTTTGTGTTGTTATTAAAAATAGCACATCTTGTCATTTTTGAAGAAACAAACAATTCTAACTACAATCATTATTCTTTGATGTTTTATGGCTACGTACACAGTTAATCTCAAAACCAGCTGACAATGTAATTAATACTTAATCGGAAAATTTGAAGTGAGAGAAATTCTGTAACCTATGAACAGTTGAAAAGTGCTTGGAGTTTTGACTACACTACAAATTTAAGAGAAGAAAAGTGGAATACTCAAGAAAACAATGGCCTACTTTAATCTTCAGATTTAGAACCAACAGCATTTCAAGCCTTATGTTTCCTCAACTGAGTGCCTTTGTTATTATTTATAAATGTTTAACTACAACAAAAATAACAAATTATAATAAATCAACTAAACGTAATTTTTAAAAATAACACATGAAGTAGATATGGGCAACTTTTGTTTTCAGATATGATTTAAATAATACAAAACATTCATGTTATAAAAACTATATAACAAATCTGTGACTTTGGAACATAAGGGGAGTAACAACCAAGAGCCAATAAACCCCACCTTTGCACACATGACCTCAGCACTCCCACAAGTAAAGTTATCAAACTGTTACTTAATGTATACATAGTGTATACATAGCTTAAATAAACCATACTTGAACTTAGATGTGATTTATTACAAGAAGCTTTAAAAGCAGTTTATTTCTTGTTTAGTGCTTATGATAAACACAGGATAGTGTGTTTTGCTGAAGAAGACCTTAGGTTGAAACATTACAATGGCAAATATCCGCATGATGATGTAGTTGCAGCTTTTTTTTTTATCTGCTAAGATTTCCACTAACTTCCTGATATTTCAGACTAGTTATTAAACATAGCCTTGACATCAAACAGTAACATGGAGTTTTTAAAGAGGTTTATGCAGTGTATGTTCTCTTATCAATATCTGATAGTGATAATGCCACACTAATATTCTTTTTTTAAAAAGTGCTATATTACTGGTAGTAAACTGTAAACTAGTTTACATTTCTAATGCTAATTCTAACTGTATCTTATCATAGTTCCTACATCAATCCGATTTTACAGTACTACAAACAATGCACTTATTTTTAAAGAGTCCTCTGTTGGGAATTTGTAAAAGTAATGGTCAGTATTTTCCCCCATTTTTTAAACACAAGATTCACCAGAATTCTCTCCATAAAACAATAACAAAGATAGTAAACATTAACTTAAAGTTAAAGTCAGCACTTAAGGAAATAATGTAGTAATCATTCAAAGGACTTGACTTTTCAATGCCAATGACATAAATTACTTTCATTGGGCTTTTGCTTTGTTTATAATAAATATAATAATACAAATCCTGATGGTTACTTATTGTTGTTGTTTGATGAAGTGGTCTTTGAAGTGAACAAGTGAAAATATACAAAGTAATAAAGCTTCTTAAAGTGATGCTTAGTTATTGACTATAGGGCCTCTGTTAGATTCAGCTATGATTTTACATGCACACAATATTTCCTAATATGTAGAATGAATGAACAGGGAAAAAATCATAAGTCCAAAATGGTACCTAGACAATTGAGATTTGTGAGGTACCATCAGTCGAGTGAGCAATTTTTTGCTGTTGAGTTACTAGCAAAATTAGAGATAGAGAAACCAGATCCACAGGTTTTACAGTTCATGGAAAAGAAAACCCCTGAAGAAAATTGAAACTGATCATACATCGCAGCTATTAACTATTAACAGATAGCTGTCAAACTCATTTCCACAACATTCTGAAAGGGAGGAAGAATAAAACCTCCTTAACAGACTTCGTTTCAAAGGCTTGAATATGAAAGTGAGTAAAGCATCTTAAGCATGGCAAAAAAGGCAAAGACCAGTGAAGAGAATAGCAGTTGTGAAAATTATGAGGAAGTACTAGATAAATCAATCGGAAGTAAATATAATAAAACTAAACAATTTAATTAACACTAAAAATTGACGACAAATGGAATCTGGCCTTTTACTATTCAGTCAACTCAACTTATTAGGCATCTGGATTATCCCTAGACTGTTGTCTGAAACTCACCAGGTGCATGGTACCTAGATATTCGTTGATAGTACTGAAGGGGTGATTAATTTTATCAAGTAGGCAGAAGGGTAGGCCTATAGATGTTGGTTTGTCATTTTGAAAATGTTTCAACAGATAAGTTGCGCAGTAAATAAATAAGTGTTGAAAAGTCTAACATATAGGGCCTGATTAGAGCAAGGTGTTTTGCTTGAAATCATTTGTAATATGGGGCCTACTTGTAATATTTTCCAACATGCAGGTCCATCAATACTAAGATTTAAAAAAAAAAAACTGGAAGTGATGTGACAAGAACATTCTGTCTTGCAAGCTACAATGCAGGCAAAAGTTTTTTGACTCAAAATTTTAAGAGTGCAGTCCCTTTAAATCTATAATACACTTCTAACTAAGACTATTCAATTCAACATGCTATTATTTACAGGCCTATAGTCTAGACTAATTTTCAACTCAGTCCCCAATCTAAATGTGAAAAGCATATTTTCATTTTGAGCTCTACTGCACAGGCCCTGGCTAGGGCTAGGACTAATAATAAACAAATAGTTGGACTCTAGTAGTGCCATTATTTAGGCCTGAACTTAAAATTTTAATATATCAATATTCAATCAGCCTATCTAGAATCACAATCTATAGACTTTTTAGCTTAGGTAGAGTTAGTACTTAGTACTTATGCATCTTTCCTTTATTGTTTCTGGCATTAGGAAATCAAAAGCACAAGGTAAATAGCAAGTTATTTGAAGTTAATAAAGTTAAAATAATTGGCAAATAACGTTATCAACCTCTGGGACAGAGTGATTTAGAGGTAGAGAGCTGGACTGCTAACCCGTAAGTCTCGAGTTCGAATCCGGGTACAAGTTAATAGACCGTCCCTGAGTCCACCCAACGCCAACTCTGATGGGTACATAACTCACGTTAGGGAAAGTAAAGGCGGCTGGGCATAGTGCTGACTACACTATCTCTTCATATGCCGAGGTCACAGAAACAAGTGAACTCTACTTCACTTGCCCTATTATTGGTCAGGTTTGACAGGGAAACTTTACGTTATCAACCACCAAGATTTGATTTTGAAGTAGTCTAGAATCTAACTCTACAAGTCAGCTGAGTAAACCAGAAGTAACACATCTGACTGATATGATTCACATTTTACTTCTAATTTCCTAAAGTAGGCCTAAGAGTAAGACCTAGAATCTAGATCTTAGAACTAGACCTAAGCAATTGCATCTCTATTCACACTTTTAAAAATATATTATATTGGCCCAATATTGGGCTCTACTAAACTAAGTTTATTATGTTATGGCTAGATACAGATGTGTACTCTATTTTAAAAAGCAGAGAGCTAGATCTAGATCTTTATCTAGACTCTAGAAGATGTCAATATTAGACCTAGATCTAGACTCTAGGTCTATTTCATTTTAACAAAATAAAAAAAAAATGACCCCCACCTTCCAAGATTTTGGTCGATGTTCTGCTTTACGCGCAGAAAATTCTTGCGTAGGTTTTCTCTTTTAAACATCTTGAATGTTTCAATCAGGTTTACACGTAATTCATCGCAACATTGTTCTAACTAACGATAACACACTTGCGAATGGAAAACCATGATAGATCTAACAAAACTATTCCATAGCTGAAAGTGAATCATCGCGACACTTTCCCTTACAGTCAATACCAGGAAGTGGTAGTAAATAAAGGTTGCTCTAACAGTCACCAATGGACGCTATCTTTCTAAAAGCATATATGAAACTTAAACTGAATAAAGTAAATTTTAAATGATTGTACATGAGAGAATTTTATAGTAGGTGCTTATTACAAAGAACGAAGTGAAAGTCAAGAAAATAACTAGTTTAAGTAAGGGGATATTTCAATTCATTCATTGAAACCATCGAAACATGTAACTACGTTTTTACTATCTTTAGTTCATAAACTGACGTCATATTAACATACATATTCAAAAACATGATAGATCTAGTAGCTTGATATTTTAGATCTAAATCAACGGCCTCCAAACTGGGAATGTGCTAATTAGTCCCACTAGAGGTGTGAAAAGTTTAACAGAGATGTACAATGTTTAAACACACACACATATTTATTTATTTATTTATTCCAAATAAAAAGTATGTTCAAATTAATATGGGCAAAGAAAAGAACACGTACAATAAACAAAAAGTTAAGAAGTTTCAATCGAAATTTTACTGCCCATCACATTTGTTGGGCTACGGCCGCAACCAAAGATAGGCCTTATTGCCCTGTTCTTTCCAATTGGTTTGCTTTGTTGATGGTTGCGGACCAGTGGATCCTTTGACGCCTTCTCGAAGAAGAACGTGACACCAGCTGAAACAGAGAGATTTCAAATTTACAGGAAAAAAGTTCAGTGGGATAGTTTTAATAACTAGTGAAATTAATCTTTTTTAATTATACCACTGTGAAAGTGTGACTGAGAAAAAAAATTAATGCACTTTTCAGCTAAATTCATCTCTATTACACAGTTAATCATAGATACATATTCCAGCTTTCGAGAAAGGAAAAAAACATGTGTAAGGGGCGGGGTGCAGTGGCACTTAGGGGTCATCCATAAATGATGTCACGCTTTTTAAAACGATTTTTACCTCCCTCCCCTCCGTCACATATCGTCACAAAACCAGACCCCCTTCCCTAAAATGAGGTCACACCTCAACCTACAACCCCCCCCCCCCCAATTTGCAGCTGAATTATTCTTAAAACATCGATATTTTTCCAAAATCTCGTCTGAACTCTCTCGACCTACAGTATTTTGATCAATTTCTATTACAATTTATTAAAACAATTTTCTAAAACGCGAAATAACGGCTAAAATTCGTTTTATAACATTGCTTTTTATAATGCAAAAGTGTGACGTCACCGTCTGACCCTTCCCGCTCATCACACACCGTCACAAAATTACGGACCCCCCTCCCCCTATGAGTTTTACGTCATTTATGGACGACCACCTAGATTAATAACTGGATTAATAATATTATTAAATTGTCATAAATATATATGTTGTGAACCATTTATCGAAAACAAAATCCTAAGCACATTTGCAATCATTTGGATGTTCTATGCGGACCTCCCCCCCCCTCCCCCACTCTGGCATATTTAAATATTTATTACCATTAAATTACCCATCCCGCGCGTTCCTGCGGCCCTAGAAGAAATTGAGCTGACGCCATATTTTTAAAAAGGGTTTCATCAATGCGTTACCAATAGTTTATTTTTAAACGTGTGATCTTGTTTTATAAAACTGAGTCATATAATGCAAACAAAACAGGCGCTATTTATTGGATCATAGTTTTTAGGGCGCGGGTTTGTGCACACTACCGCCCAGACGCCACAAGACGTACTTTATGAAAGCCTTGATTATACGTTAATCACCCTCTGTAATATTGAGTTTTAACACACATCATGACTGTTCAGGTGTCAGAGGCGTCGCAGGACGCTCTCGGAAGCAACAGGCTACACTACCTCAGGGCAGCGGGTACGCCCCCTGGTTTGGTTTACTCATCTAGGGCCACCGTGTCATTCTTATAGGGTGCTCTTTAAAAAAACTGTACTCATAGTACTCATGGTAGAGCCCGGGACGCCAAATCGCAACCTGGCTGAGAACGAGCTGATCAATCTTGTGAACGATAACAGCAACCCATATTATCCATAGTGTATCGCAATCTTTAATACGAATTTAGTGATAACGGAGAGTCCACGGCGCCCAATCGCATCCAGCCGGGCGCCGCCCATCGACTTTTAACGTCTCTAGGTCTATAATTAGAATAAACTTACTCTAAAAGGTGATTTTAGCTACTTAGATCTATTACCTATTTATGATATCAACACTATAAAAAGTTGATTTGCTTTACTATCAACGGGTGAGCTTCAAAACCTAAAACCGTTTAAAATATTAAACAAAATAATAACAATATATCTATTCATAAAAGATTATAAAAACGAATCTACTTCTGTTTTCGTGTGTGTTGATTTTTCAATAAAGAAACATCCTACTTCCGCTTTCGTTTTCTTCTATTTTCCAGCATGGCTGATAAACAAACTGTTGTGGACAATATTCTTTCTTCCAAAAATGAAGAAGATAAATTTAAATCTATTGTCGTTGAAAACAGTGAAATTATAGATTTGGACGAAGGGCTTTTATTAGCAGTAAACGATAATAAAATTGATTTAAAAGAATTCAGGTAAATAGATATTTTTGTCTCAGTCGTGTCGTGGTGTGCCCAGCCACAGGGGTGTGGGGAAATTGCGAGACGCGAAAAGCGAAATGGCGAGGCGGGAAAATGCGAGAAGGGCGCGAAAACGGTCGGTCACGTGACTTTTTTGTCTCGCATTTTACCACAACCCGATACTTACGCTGGGTAGTGTTGAAATGCGAAGATTTCTGCGAAAAATTTACCGCACCCGATATTCAGTGGTATTTGGTCCAGACTTCAAAGATGTTTCGTTTACATTGTTAAAACTTCCGATTTTTCCGTCGCTAGACATACTGATGATTTGTCAACTCCCCCCATCTTTTGTGTCGACTTAGAATACCACCTTGTTCGAAACCGACGGAAATACCGCCGACGATAGATCCACTTCTGTCTTTTGTGTGGAACGCCGAGGCCGCCTGATTTACCGTCTTTGAAGATCGCCGTGCCCGGATCCGCTGCCGCCGCAAACATATTTTCTATTGTTGCATAGAAATTTTGTATTATAGCCGCCGCCTACGATTTTTTTCTAGCTTTTTTTTACCATATAAATCTAAGCACAAGGAAATGCCTACATCATTTGGATACACTAATTTATATTAGATTTTATATCACGGTTGTGACTTTTCCAAATTTTCCCATAAATGTTATATTATTATTTATTAATTAATTGTAAATATATATAAAAATTTATTATTTATTATTTCCATAAATAAGTCAGAAAAAATAACATCAAATTAAGTATGCAGTTACTGCCCTATGTGAAGGCGAGGACTAGATTAACCCTCCCTTATGTGTTGCTTATTCCTAAGCTTTTATGAACTCTTAATGCCCCCAGTTTTTTTTCTCTTACTTACTGTTTGGGGAAAAAATAAAGTGACGTCACCGATATTATCAGTTGCTCGTGCTATATCGTAAACTATGGGCCTACTTCAAATATTTTTAAAACCAAGTTGAACTTATCTGAATTTTTTGGTTTTGGTGGTGGTGTTATTTTGGGGTCTTCCATAAATGACTTTTTGCAAGTACAAAAATCCATAAATAGATGTTGCAAAATATCTCTCCTGCTGACAAGATTATACCAATTCACAATGACACAGCTCACGTTTGTATAAACATGAGCGGGCTAGATTTTTAAATTAATGCTGACTGAGACGGGATTTTCCTCTTGCTAACAAGAGCGGGCGATGACAGTAGCACAGCAACGATGTTAGGATTTTTAAATAGATAGATCTAGATATAGATCTATCTATCTTCTTAGTATCTAGATAAAAAATAACAACATACAACACTCATGTTAAAGGGTATGGCTAAATGCTTGTTTATTTTAAAACAAAAAAAAATAATTTAAATAAATTAAGATGGAAAAAAAAGAAAAAAACTTTTTTTCGCAAAAAGTGTCTCGCTATTTGCCCTTAATTCCGCAGGTATGTCTCGCATTACCTTCTCGCATTTTCCCGCCTCGCCATTTCGCTTTTCGCGTCTCGCAATTTCCCCACACCCCAGCCACAGCCAGGTGTGGTCACCGCGAAATTCTAATAGAACTAATAGATTCTAGATCCTAATTAATAATTTATTTTTATCTAATATGACGATACCAGTCCTCCCTCTACCTACTTCTTAGACTTCTACTTTATCTAGATTTAGATTCTACCCTCCGCTCCAATTATTACATGGATATTGAGTTGTATTGTTACTACAACTATCTCTACAACACACCAGTCCTGTACTACAGGTTGCATCACCTCAAGGCACACATTTTGTCATCCCTTTCATATTTTTACAAACATGTTAAGTTTAATTGCCTCATAACATATTAATCTTGAAACTCTGAACATTTGAATACAAATTTCCATGTAATAGAGATTTGGCATTGGTTTATATGAAGAACACACAAAATTTGCCCACAAAATTTACCACCAAATCCTATAGTTATAGTAACTTTTAATTCAGTAAAAAAATCATAACTTTAAAACGGAATGTCCAATTTTGAAAAAGTAAACTTTTTTGTCTTAATCTGATGTAGCTCTTTAAGATGATATGCTTTTTAACCTAGGTAAATCATTTTGAAAATTTTCTCAAAGTCCCTACCTGTAGTTAGTAGGCCTATGGCCTATGGCATGGCTATTCTATTTCTAATTTTAGTAGGCCTAGACTATAAAATGATCTAATCTAGATTTCTAGATCTACTCTGTCCGAGAGTCTGATCTAATCTAAGTCTAGAATATATTTAGAAAGATCTAGATCTAGTAAGTAGTGACTAATATTAAAATTGGTGTGGGGGGGGGGGGGATTTTTATACCAGTGTCCAATAACAGAATCTTTAAATAGGGGGTGTAGGTTACTCAACTGGTAGTTAACTAATAAATTAAATATGAAATACACATGTCATATTGCTTGCTAATGTCAATTCAATGCTAACCCTGTTCCTAGCCCCAACCCTAATCCTACCATATGCCTAACCCTAATTTTAGTAATTAACCATAAAATTAGTCGAGATTACAATACTACTAACAACCCAACAAACCTAATTTATGGAAGATTCTAATTATTGGACATCAGTAGGCCTATCTAAAATCATTTTAAAAGGGTAAATACAGTAGGCCCCTAACTAATGCCTAATATTATTAGTAATACTATTTATTATTACTAGATCTAGTACTAGTTTAAAAAATCTGGGAGAATTATGTGATTGAGTGTTGTACAGATTTATGGTAAACAGATATCTTTACTGTTGGTAACTCTCAATCACAAGAAGATGTTAAGTTGGGTGTTTAAGACAGTTTAAGTATAGTTTTTTTTGGATCTGTATTAAAATGCATGGGTATGGCTACTCTTACAGTTTGGGTACCTGTTGTTTAACCCAATCAACAATTACACAATGTTTATGTCCTTATTATTGTTTTAAAAAAATTAATGATTTTTATGATTACCCTATATCTTAATTTTAATTTATTTGTATTTTATTTTTTGCAGAAAAAATCAAGAAGAAACTCTCAAGTCTTGTGCCAGAGATGCTACACAAGTCCTTTTTAATTCACTTTGGCAGGTAGTCATGCATACCTATTGCATTTTTACTTGTAGGCCTTTATACCTTCATATTACGCAGCAGTTTATTTTTAATTCATTTATTAACTTATAATATTGTATTATTGTTTAGTATGTTTTTAAAATATTCTCAATATTAATGTCATTCCAGTTGCCCGTTGAACGTGTGGAAGGAAGCTACCTAATAACTGTATGTTGCTGTTTCACTTTTATAAAAACTCATGCATTTGATACAATTAATTTAACAATATTGTTTTCATAATTCACTGTTACAATTTATTTTTTATCATTTTATTTCAGCTGCCTGAACCCAAGACATGGCTGCCTCGAGAAAAACCAGTAAGTTGGTTGCACTCTCAGTTTTCTGTTTTCATACTAGATAGAGTAAAATTATATTACTCATATTTAAAATACAACAGGGTTTACTTTAATAAGAAATGCTGATTGTTTCTTGCAGGTTCCAAAGAAAAAACCTTTAACAAAATGGCAAGAGTATGCAAAGGCTAAAGGTATATTAAACAAAAAGAAGTCAAGAAAAGTCTGGGATGAAGTTACACAAGTGAGTGTTATTCTCTCTGCACTTCCTTTACTTCCTGAATGCTTTTTTTTCATGAGATTTTCTTTTCCTCTGAATTTTTAAATTAATATTTTTGTTTACCGTATTAACTTAATTAAATAAACTAAATGTATTAACATCATTGTGCTCTAGGACTATAAGCCACGCTGGGGTTACAATAGGGCTAATGATTCAACTAAAGATTGGCTTATTGAAGTTCCAGCCAATGCAGGTCAGTAATTTTTTAGAATTATTAATTTCACTTTTTTAACATTTATCCGCCTTCTACAGTTGGACTCATAAATGTTCAGTACTAAATTAAGACTAGTTCCCATGCAATAATTTTGCCATGATTACTGCATATTATTAAAGTGAAATGTTTTTCTGCATATAGAATTATTAAGGTATTGATTTGTTGTACAATATTTAGATCCCATGGAGGACCAGTATGCTAAAAGAAAGACAGCTAAACAAGAAAGAGTGGCCAAGAATGAGTTACAGAGGTTAAGAAACATAGCCAGAACTCAGAAAAAGAAAGGTGAACTATTTGAATCATTGCTAATTTATTGTCATATAACAAATCTGTTACACTCAATAAATTAATTATGTTTATCTCTATTATTTTTAGTTCCCATTGTACATCTACAAATTAATATTTGAATGTTTATCAATACCATCTTATAGTTCACTGTGTTTGCAGTTTGATGAGTACATATTTACTGTCATCATTTTATAGTTCCCGGTGTGGGTTTAACACCAACAGAGCAGCCAAGTAAAGACTACCTGTCTAAAGCCCTTGCAATAGCACACAAATCAACAGCATCTATAGGCAAATTTACAGAAAAACTAGCTAAAGAAAAACCTTCCAAATATACTGGGAAAAAAAGAAAGGTAGTTATTTATAGTATAAACTACATGTGTGTAAATATTAAAGAAAAACTGAATCAGTTTTTTTTTTAAACTAACGTTTTTAAAACTGTTTTGTTCTGATAATTTTGCTGTTATTTTCAGTTTGAGCCAACTATAGGAAATCTTTCTCAAGAAAAACAGAAACAGCTGCAAATCCTAGATGTTCATGCAAAGAAAATTCCTAAAATTGATGTCACAAAGGCAGCGAACAGAGCTCTAAGAGAAGAGGATGAACAAAGGTAACTATGTAGCTATATTAAACTTATTGTTGAGCATTTATTCCTTAGGTAAAAGTAGTTCATGGAAACTTAATGGAATATTTAAAAAAAACTATATATATAAATTGATTGATCTTTTAAAATTTAGTTTTTAGGATGCATTTACTTTGGAAAGCATAATACTGCATAGAATATTAATTTAGTCGTTAGATTGTCATATTCTGTCGTTTCTATGGTTGCTATTCTATTATTATGTACTTAAAAATAAGCTTTGATGTTTACTTTAATAAATCAAAGTAAATTAAATGAAGGTAATAAATTGTATCCCATTTATACTAAAAAAGATTGCCCATTCAAGAATTAAAAGTGCACCTAGGGAATTCATAGCTGAATTGTAGTATTTGTAGTCACAATCTACCATTGTGATGTCACTAAAACACTTTCCTTTTGAGAATAGATGTCAGGTCCTAAAATCTCATTTAGCACTCCATACTTTAACCATGGGTTGTCACAGATTTTTTTTTTACATATTTTATTTTCAACGCTTCATTATAAAAAGAAACAAGGATGACATTTCAAAGCAGTAAATCTGTTTTATTTAGTTCTCATTAAAAAGTTCAAACAACACAACAAAGCAGCACCTGAGAACAACTGTTAACATTAAAGTTTCCCTTATTGTGCTCAATATATTTTATTTACTTACTATATTTACTTACAATTTTAAAAAAAAAGTTGGTGCTGGTATTCGGTAATAACTTCCTTGATCCCACGTACACTAATCATTACCTTATGATAAATTGTCAACATTTTTTGTACCACATCATAACATCAAGTCACCGAGTCAACATTATTAAGGAATTGAACTTAATACACATCATGCTTTATATTTCAGATCCCAAAGGAAAAGTAATAAAACTCCCAAGAAAGTCAGAGGGAGAAAAGCCATGCTTGGATTAGGCAAAAAGGGAGGGAAAGTCAGGAAAGGGGGAGGTAACAAGAAAACCAGAGGAAAAAGAAATATTTGATTTTTGTATATAGTGGATAAAATTTGTAATAAAGGATTGGTAGCGAAGTACATTCTTTTTCATTCATTATTAATTAGGGAGTGTAATTCATTGACACTGGTAAACAAATTAATTCACTTCAAGAAAAAACTGATTCACTGTATTCAGTGAAAAGGAAACATTTTTCCTTGGCGTTTAAATGTAAGACTATGGTGTTGACAAAACCTATTTGTTACCTATGTTTTAAATTTAAAAAATTCACAGCACGAACATAAGTGTTACACTTTTAGAAGATTATATCAAAACCTTAAAATAAATGTCTATCTAAAATGATGTAGAGCTTCTGGATCAGTGACTCCGTATGGCAAGGCTCGTTTTCAAATTCCTGAGTACTGATGCACTGCTATTTTGCCACATATTTTTTTTATTACTGATTAAAATCATAAACAATTTGTTCTTATATTTAAGTATGGGCCATAAAAAAAGGTAAGAAGGGGATATTTATAGGAAAAAAATTAAAATGATTAATTTATGTTTAATTGTACACAAAAGCAAAAAATTATTACAGCTGATTTAAGTTATTTAGCTCTTGTTTAAAACATAAAATGTAGTTTACCTACTTTAACAAAAAAGTACTGAGAAAAATTGGTTTTCTACCTTGATGGAGAGAATTTGATCTGTTATTTTATTGAAATGTAAAAGTTTTGTGCTGTTTTACCAGTTGTGGATATTGCACTTCATGTTTCATTTTCATGTAATTGTCAAAAACTATGGAATTATTAAGTTCTCTTTGACAATTATGATGAGCAACCAACTTATAGTTTAACAGCATGTCTGGTAATGAATTGCTCTAACTACCCAAAATAATAAATAAAAAGCACCTTTAAATATGTTAGTCAGAAACATATTTTTAAGCTTAAATTCAAAAGCAATGGCATAGTCTGTTTAATTGCAGATTCTTGTTAAACATCATCTGCTTATTTTATAAGAATAATAATACTATTAAGTGATTTCAGATTAATATTTTTCTATAAGACTTCTCATAGACATATCTTCCAAGGTTATAGTTCATTTATGAACTTAAAACATAAAGTTTAAAAAAAATAATTGAAACTTAACAAACCATTTATTGACTATGAACAATACTTGTCCCCATTGTTAATGTTTGGGTGGGATAAGGGTACATCCTAAGAGTGGTATAACCACACATTATGAATGCCATTAAGAAAATAAATAAAGAGCAAACATGATGAACTTGAAATAAAACATCGTCAACAAAGTTAGAAGCCATAAAAAAAAAAACAGCAGTGCTTTACATTTTGTAGCTGCTATGGAGGCCATTTTAGCGCTATTTTTAGTTGGAACAAAACTGCAAGAAAAATGTTACATTGACAGCTGCCATAAACTGTAATATGAAAAAAATAAAACATCCCAGTATAAGACCACAGAAAAATGATTTGCACTTTGTTAATCAAGTATATTTTATATGGCCTAGTCAACTATAAAGTTGACTAAGATACATCAACAAAACAAGTTCTAGCATGTGTGTAATAAACAAAATCAAGATAATTTATAAACATGTCTTTAAGTGAACATACACAATTAAATGAGCATGATGACATGACAGGCGTGCTTTCACACATTGAGCCAACTTTGCTATGGATGTTTTAAAAGCCTGGAACATTAAAAATATGTGAGGCACCTCCTGAGTTTGTTTTCTTTTAAATTAAGCTTTTTTAATGAAGCAATTTTGAACTTAAAAAATATATAATGACATGTTTATATATATAAGTAGAATAAAAATCCTGAGCTATTGAGTTATTCTTTGGCAATTTGAATCTGACAACAAGAATAAAAAAATTTTGTAACCGGTATGTGTGGTTCCAATTCCTGAGTGTGAACCAGATTCACAACTGGCTACAGAAGCTTTATGTGGCAAATTACGCAACTTACACAGACAATGTTTACTTAGTTATCAACAAGGACAGCACTCTGCATACAATATTTCAATGTCATACAATGCAGACATAATATGACATTTTTTATAATTTATTATGGGTGCTAATTAAATCAACAGCTTATTTGACATTAGACGAATTTTAAACTTGTCTCAAGAAAGTCTGGTTTGAACCTAATTTAAATAACACAATCCGCAGAAACTGGATAATCATTGATTACATATTGGTAAACAAAAAAATTGGTGTGTTAGAAGTGAAATGCAAAGAAATATTAAAGCCCAGTGCATAAGTTAAAAAACAACCTCAACCAAATAAACAATATTTGTGAAAAAAATTAAAATTAAACAATAATACTTATCAAGGCAAATTAACAATAGAAAATCATTAAATGTATACATAAATAAAATAATATAAAGTTATTTTCATATAAAACTACTATGGTTTGTGTATAGATTTGGTTATAGTTTAATTTTCATTCAAAAAATTTGATTACAATTTATAATTATTGCAAATAGTTTAAATATGGCAGATTGATTATACATGGAAATAGAACTCTTTTAACAGAAATACATTGTTCATTGGCCCAAATACTTTATATTCTTATTAAAAGGAAGTTAACAGGAGAACAATGTAAAAAAAATTGTGAATATTCAACTTAATTGGATTACTATGTTATTGGTGGGATGGAGTGGTCTAGCGGTAGAGAGCTGGACTGCTAACCCGTTAGTCTCGAGTTCGAATCCGGGTTCAAGTCAGTAGACCTTCCCTGAGTCCACCCAACTCTGATGGGTACCTAACTCCTGTTAGGGAAAGTAAAGGCGGCTGGGCATAGTGCTGACCACACTATCTCTTCATATGCCGAGGTCACAGAAACAAGTGAACTCTACTTCACTTGCCCCATAGACCGTCAGGTTTGAAAGGGAAACTTTACTTTTTTTTTATGTTATTGGTGAATCTATCCCTTTTAGTGGAAAAAAAACCGGACAGGAAAATATATATTATTCTAAAACAAAGTTTGCAAAAGTATTTTCCATCTTAGTTGACTATCATAAACAGTTACAACACAATACACTTAGTATGTATTCAAATTAAATAGTATCTAAATTGCCTAGCTAAACATTCAAGAGCTGGATTTTTTTTTCTTCAGTTTAACAATAATGCAGTTTTCATGCACTATAAGCATTACTAGCTTAGTTTAATTAATTGTTTGAATCTGTACATTGCAAAACACCAAGCACATTAGTAACTTGTTTGAAATTATATCAGAGATCTGCTTTTTAATAAGTTCAGCTCAAAATATAGGGGACTGTTTTGATTGATCTACAGATTCTTTATGCTTGACTATTATTAAAGGTATTTTATGAACATTTCTATATTAAAGATATTTACTAACTAAAACCATAAACCTTTTCAAATTATTTTTTTGTGTGTTCAGCATTATGATGGTTGAAGATCTCTGTATAAGCATTATATAATCAATACAAATAAAGAAAAAGTGCACATCTCCCCATAATACCCAAACATAACATGACATGCAAAAATTGACCATATGGGCTTAGATGTTTGACCATAGGTGTTTTGTCCACAGTGGTTGTTTTATCTCAGATGCTTTGTCCATACATGGTAAGGATTAACTTAACAAGGCTACAACTGTGTAATTATATTTTAAGGTGCAGCATAATGTAATAAGAGGGATGGCGTGACCTAGGGGTGGAGCAGTAGACTGCTAACCAGATAGTTTTGATTTCGAATCTGGGTTCAAGTTAGTGGAACGTCCCTGAGTCCACCCAGCTCTGATGGGTACCTAACCCATGTTAGGGAAAGTAAAGGCGGCTGGGCATAGTGCTGACCACATTATCCCTTTATATGCTGAGGTCAAGAAACATGTATACCACTTCATCTGCCCAATGGATCATTAGGTCTAAAGAGGAATCTTACTTTACTTTTATAATGTAATGTTAATTAATAAATCTGGTAGGCTTTTCAAATTTTTTAGACATTTTTAGTACATATGAATTTCAAAATTGTAGTAATTGTATTATGAATCCAGCTCTAGACTAGACAAAGCACCTATGGTCAAAGCCTCTATGTCAAAACGAAAAAAAAAAACCCATAAAAGTACAAATACAGTAAAAAGTTTGGATAAACAAAAATAATTTTTTTTCAGCATTTTCTTCTTTCAAAAAACTGATTGTAAAAACTTTTTCACAGGGTTATATAACAAATGTAAGGGAGCTGCAACAGAAAATACAGATAAACAAAAACACCAAAACATTTTTAAGGTTAAACCAATGCTTATAAATAGAGAAGTACCAAGTCTAAGTTCCAGGGTGTACAGTAATAACACAAACACCAAATTAAGGGGGAAGGATGTAATAACCTAAAGAAACAATTGACATAAAATCTGTTTTTCTCAAGCTTATTATTAGAACATGCAGCAAATGTAACTTAAGTTAAATATTTTTAAAAATCTCAAATATATAAAATATATTGATAGTCACAATATAATTTTATGGCATATAGGCCTACATATATCTTTTGTTCACTTCATACTAAATACCTTAATGGTTTAGCTAACATAGGAAGATGCAAAGTTAACAACTGTTAACAACATATGCACTAATATAATTTACAGTCAAGTATCCATCAAAAGTTAACATAGCTTTTGGTTTTTATGAGATACTTTCTGACTTTCCTACCCTTAAGTTGGAAATCTATGCTACACACTGTATTTATTACTTGATTTAAAATTCATAAGTTTTATCACACAAAAAAAGAAAAAGCTATTCCATTTGATAACAATAAGTGTAGTAGCAAAATTAACAAACACAGCCATGACTAATAATGCAGGTACATTAACATGGAACCAAAAGGTCAAACACATGAACACACAACAGCAAAGTTTTTTGTGTTTTGTTTCAGTTGTGACCACATTTTTATCATCCAAAACCTTATAAATGAAAAATATATAAATAGCAGATAATGTACAGGTTTGATATACAGTTAACATCAATTCAATTTCAGATTAACAATAAAAATTTTAATAGTAGGAACTATTGTGGTTGTTGAGTTTCAGTTAAAGCCATTCTTATCTTATCTAACCTTTTCCTTAATTTGGTTTAAAAAGAAGCTGGTTATTTAAATACATGTAAAAAAAATCTTAGCTACATTGAAGAGAACAGTTACCTTTAGCAACTTTATCTTAAGCCAAGTGTTGAGAAACTTAGTTCTACAGCAGAAATAAACAAGTGAAGTCCGGGGAAAGACTAATCCAACATGTGAAACTATCTTAACACTGCTACGTCTCTGTTGAAACTAACTTAGCTGTTCTGGTATTGTACAACTTCCTGATTTCATCCCATAACACTAGACTAATAGTTGTGTGTGGACCAATCCTTAAGTAAGAAGGGAACCAGCCTTTGTAAAAGCCCCAAAGACCTTCGGATCGAAATATCTTTAAAAAACAGTCTGTTACCCCAGAATAGATGGCGCCATGTCCGCTTTGAGTGAAAGGCTGGTTGTAGAGTCTAGTGGAGACGACATCAAATGGCGTCATAAACAACGTAACAAATATGCCACTGACCATGCTGGCCGACAAGGTTGACAGGAAACTATTTGGTGTAAATATCTAAAAAACAAAAATATTGAAAATTATAATTTTTAAATAAACATATCTTGTTTATATTTAGGAATCGGCGTGGTCGAGTCAGTAAAGCTCATGGTTGCTAAACCAAAAAGTCTCGAGTTCAAACCCTCAGGCAGATGAGGCTCGTTAGCTGGAGACAGCCACTCTTCTAGGAGAGACAACTCCAAAATTAAACAACTGCTGCCTTGTAGTTTGTTCTTGGTTGGACAAAGGCTATAGAAGCAAATCCAAAAAGAAAAGCAGGCTGAAATCGGAGTCAATGGCCTCAATGGGGCATAACCAGTTGACACGTAACGCTTAATTGTGTTGAAGGCATGGTCGAGTCGGAAAAAAGCTCATGGTTGATAAATTCGAACAAAGTCTCGAGTTCAAACCCACTGGCACAGATAAATCTCAATCCCCTTCATCACTAATAATTAAGAACGAAAAAGAAGAAGTTCACACTTCTTAAAATGGAAAATTAAAAAAAAAAATTGGAAGCAAACTATTATAATTTATGTTCACTGATTCAAAATGACTCTCAATTATATAATATAACCATATAATTTAGATAATTCAATCAATTTATAGAGATAACTGGATTTTGAAAATCATTTTTGGGTTTCTGATGTGCAAATCAATTTTATTATTTTTTCTAGTTTTATCATTACAAATCATTATTTTATCAAGACAAAATAATGTCAAAAGAAGCATCAAATTGCAATTCTTGTCAGCTTCTTGAGTTGTTTAAAGAAAATCAATGACTTCTGAAATCTTACAACATGATGATTTGATATCTTAGGAATACAACAAGAGGGTCAAACCTTTGTTTCCTGTATAAAGTTTTTGGAGAAAGAAAATGTTGAAAGCTGTGAAGCTGAACCAACAGTCACTCTAACCATGGCACCACTCACGCCACGCCACAGGCCAAATGTCCCATGGTCTTTGTAGATACTCTGACAAATTAAATGCAGAATTTTATTTAGAATAAAATAGCGAGAAATCTTATCCATACCAGGTTTTAAATATCCAAATATTAAAGAACATCTGAAAAATAAATGTACAAATAAGATGTCCATATGTTTACATTAAAACTGTAATTAATGATGGTACTTTTTTGGTTAGCAAAAAAAACAAAAAAACATACCTAACCTTTACTACTTTATTCTACTCTACAATAAATGATAAAGATCTGATTTGGGCTTAACACAGAAGAGCCTTAACAAAATTTGTTAGGTCAGTCGTGGACTAGCCCAAATCTAACAGATGCTAACCTTGACCGCATGAGACTGAACTAACCATGAACCGAAATCAAGCAGATACTAACTTTGATTGCATGAGACATTGACTCATGGGGATGTTGATGTCCCACTGCTATCTCTTTATTAGCTTTAGATTGGAGATGTGTTTTCACCTTTCAAGAAGACAAAATGTTTTAAGTATAAAAAAAAATATTTTATTTACATCAGTTTTCTAAACTAAGATTAGCAACATTAATAATTTGAGCAAACAAAACAATGAAGTACTACCAATAACAACAATCTGTAATGGATAATATTTCATCTACTAGAGTACCTACTTATCTGTATATTTCAGCCATTTATACAGTGAAATCAGTTAACTATAAAAGGGTCTTCCAACAACAACAATAAAACAGAACAGATAATAAAATTATTCAAATGTACCATATATAAAGGGCTACCAACTATAGCACCTATACAGCCAGCAAAAGCACCTGCTGCTACACTACGAAGAAAGCTGTGTTGTCCGTTACTGTTTTTTGTAAGTCCCATATTTACCTGCACCTATAATTTAAGCAATATTACAAATATCTTTAAATGTTTATTTTAGTTTGTAATTTTATTTTCTTAAATGTAAATCACATGCAGAATTATAATTTCAGATGTATTATTATAATTATAATTGTTACAGTTTTACAATATGTAAGCAATTAAAAAAAAATAATGCTAAAAATATGAAAAGGTGATTAAAACTTTAAAAAATTACCTGATATGCCCCTAGTCTAGTTCCATTCATAAAGAACTGATACCATAGAGCAGGTACAAGGCCACTTTGAAGAGCCAGTAGCCCATCATTCTTTGCAATAGTCACCAGTGCATGAAATGCATTTCTATAGTGAACCTGCAAAATATGAAAAGCAAATTTCAAAAGAGCGATCATCATAAAAACAGCAGAGTATCAAACACTATTATGAATTTAACAATAACAAACGGTAAACAACTAAATGAAAACATACTGCATATTGCCCATGAGCTCTGAGTTCTCCTTGGAGTTGCATGCGAGTTTTTACAACTTCTAGAGGATTGGTGAAGAAACCAGCCCCACATGTAGCGAGACCTCCAATGAGGAATTCAAATACTCCCCGTGAGGCCATTGCCTCCTTATTTGTGTCTAAAATCACAATGAAAAATCATTAACAATCAATCAGTCCTAGTAATTAAGCTAACAATCAACATTATGATCCCTCCCCCATCACAAACCACAGCTAGATCTATCAAAAAACAGTATTATGCAAATATGAAGGCAAGACAAACTATTGCTACTTTTTTTAGGAGGGAAAACTACTGGTACAAAATAAACTTGTCTACAGTACTCTCACTACAATAGGCAAGCAAATCATTAGTAATTAATACTACTACTACACATATGTTAATAATAGTCAGGATAACACTGCAATGCATCACACCAAACAGCAGGGGTGGATTAAGCTTCTGCGGGGCCCCTGGCTGAAACTTTTTTCGGGGCCCCCCGGATGTAATGTTAAATTACATTGAGACATAAGAGTATTTAAAGTGACAATTATTTATTTACTAATGCAAAAGAAATTATGAATACTTACATTTATTACAGTTCTTTTTATTTAGAACTAAAGACCAAGTAACTTTTATATTTTATAGGAAACATTTTCGAGCTTTCCTGATAGCAAACTCTTCTATCAGTTCTGTATAATTTAGTGAGCTTACAATGTCATTTTCTATGCTCATAAGTGAGAGCATACTAAGTCTCTGCTGTCCCATAGTGCTTCTAAGATCGCTTTTAATATTTTTCATTTTGGAAAATGAGCGCTCTCTGCTGCAGTTAGACGTCATCATACACAGATAAATTCGAAGTGCAATGTGCACATTTGGAAAGCTCTGAATGCACTTGAATCTATTTAAAAACATCAACATTTCTAATTCAATACTATCATTGTAGACGTTTTGCTCTTTTCCCCCATGAATTGATTTAAACAGCTCGGCGAATTTAATCAACTCCGATGAAAAACATTCTTCAAAATCATCGGGATATTTGTTGATTAGTTTTGTAGCTGCTCCTGTAATGTCACCAGTGCTAAGGTTGGTCAGGTCACTGAAGAAATCGAACATTTCTTGAACAGTTTTATAGGAATCTAAGCGATGTTGTAGAGCTGTAGTTAGGTGGTCGATCACACAGATCAATACTTCAGTCATAAATTTTTCTCTAGGAGAAAGTTGCATTTCTGAAACTTTGCTTTCGTCAAATTGTCGCTTCCTCTTTAGTGGTCGTCTGTTGGAATATGTGTAGTCTTTGACTTCACATTTAATTTTTCCTTTTGATTCAAAGCTAGCGAATTCATTACGTTGACTTTCAATAAAAAGGAGAACAGATTTAAACAAATTAACTGCTGTATTAAGAGATAAAGCTTTTTCTTGAAGAGATAAATTTGTTTTTTGCAATCTCTCTAAAATTGTATCCCATACCTCCAATAATATTACTGTTTCTAGTTTTTGTAAACTTTTAAGATATCCTTCAGCTTCAGCTCTACATTTAAGAGGTTGATTTTCATCGGCTGCTAACTCCTCCAAAGCCAATATATTTTCCTTATACCCTCTATTTAAAGCCTTAACAGCATCATGTCGAGCGGACCATCTGGTCTCCGACAAAGCTTTAGCAACAGGCAATCCACTCATGTGCTTGTTGTGTATATGCCAACGATGGGTAGATGCAGAAAGCCAAGAGTAAAGGCTCTGAATGAGATGAAAAATCCCAACTGACGTGGGGCAGCACTCAGCTGCGCAGCTCCCAACTAAATTGAGTGAATGTGCTGTGCACGGTACATACAATGCTACGTCACACTTCTCCCGGATTTTAGCCTGAACGCCGTTATACTTGCCGCTCATGTTGGACGCGTTGTCATAGGATTGACCGCGACAATTTTTAATGTCAATTCCATTTTCTTCCAAAAATGTTAGTATTAAATTAGCAATTTCCGAGCCAGTGTGTGAAAACATTGGCACAAATTTTAAGAAGCGCTCAATAGGTCCGGTGTCTTGTACATAGCGAATAACGATTGTGAGTTGATCAACATGTGAAACATCTGGAGTCGAGTCTACAGATATAGAAAAAATATTTCGCTGTCTTTATTTCATCTACAATTACAGACAAAACCTTTTGACCCATAAGTTCAATCATCTCCTCACATATTGTTGAAGATATGTAGGATGTATGTCCACGTCCTTTGTTGGCGTGTATCTGCATATGTTCTGCGAGAAAGGTATCGTACTGACTTAACAGCTCCAGCAACCCGAGATAATTCCCATTGTTTGGAGAACCAACTTCTTCAGTTCTGCCCTGGAACGGAAGACCACGAATACAAAGAAACTGTACCACACTCACGATTCTGTGAAGTACTTGTCTCCAGTACTGAATTTCACTTTCATATTGCGTAACAAGTTTCATGTCAATCTGACCAGTAGATTTTCGTGAACACAGCGCTGCCAATGAATCAATGTGTTGTTTTGAATTTTCATGCCTAGATAGCACTTCATGGGCACTTTTCCATTGTTTGAACCCTGATGTCATTTTGTTAGTTATAGGTGACATCAGCTTACATACAAAACAATAAACACAACCGTTTGTTTTGGAATAACACAACCAATTTCTTTCAAATTTTTCTCCTGTTCGTGCATGGACACGTGTGAATAAAGAAATGGTGCAGAACCGACGTTGGGACTCTCTTTCTAACAGTATGACCGATTCTTTAAAGTCCCCGTTTTTGTTTTGACATGGTGTGGTACCAGGTTGAATCCAATAGTTTCTAAATGCCTCTGACATCTTTTCCCGCTCTGGCCAAAAATGAAGGTCGTATATAGCATGACTATCTTCAAGGGGTTTTGCTGTATCATCTTTTAAATCACATTTTTTTAATGTAGGAGCCTGCTCTACATCTTTTACCCCGGCGGTGTCTGATTCAATTGCAGATCCCTTTTCTACGTGACTATTTTCCTTGGTACTCGAAGTTGGTTTGAAAAAGGAGAGCTGTTTTGTAGTTTTTTCAGCAAGCTCAGCTTTGATCTTTCTTTTTTTCACCGATAATGCGCGTTTTTTTGCTCCACTAGGATAGTTACGAGACATATTCAATAGAATTAAAAAAAAAACAAGGCTGAATCTAATTAAAAGTCCGGCTCTTTGCTGAAATGGCAAATTGTCTTTTTTTCTCCAGCAAGCAATTTTTTGACATATAGGCCCGATGAACGAGCCTTTAGGATTACTTTATCTATCTGAAAAGTCTGAAGCCTGGATAATGGTGGAGGGTTGGAAATCAATAAAAATTTTGAACTCTTGAGTAGATTCCGTGCGAATAAATCCAAAAGAATGACTGACTCAACAAATGTAATTCCGAATGGGATTTCGAGGAGGAAGATATAGTTTGGGTACATGCCGGAAGTGGGGGGGGGGGGGGGGGGGGGCTATATGCCAAGCCCAACAAAAGAGGTTCCAGTTTCCATTACCCTAACGGGTCGGGCAGAGTTCAGTTTAATTAAATTGGAAAAAAACTTAAAGGTCAAAGTTCGCCATTGTTTATTGTTACAACTGAGGCCACGGTTGATGTTAGGCCTAGTGAGTTACCCCCCCCCCTCCCCATCTGAACTTGAACAATACTGTATTTTATAGGAAGACATTAGTGTCACACCTAGTTGTTATGTGCAGGGAAGAGAACTACGGTCGCCTGGAGATTGTTTTACCTGAGGCGGATGGCGATGGGTCGATTAAGTGAGCCCCCCCCTCCCTCCGCCTCCACCAACTTGTACCTGGTATGTAAATATGGGAAAAACACGTAATGTAAAGTGATACCCTATTGTATTCTGACCAATGTAGATGTTTTTTTTTTTGTTTTTTTTATGCCTGTACTAGTTACAATTAGGTGGTAAATTTGGGGGCCCCTAAAAATCGGGGGCCCCTAGCTGCAGCCCTTTCAGCACCCGCCTTAATCCGCCACTGCCAAACAGAAAAAATAAAGGCAAGCTCAATTTTAAAATTTATAATTTAATACTTATGCCTACTTGGAATCAGCATGACAAACAGCTAACCTGCTTAATCATCAACCTAGCTAAGTCAGACTCAAGGCTGCCCAAACCTTACCCACCCAATGATTTAAAAATTTGTTTGCTCTGGCTCTCTACAGTCTACACTCATTAGTCTACCCGTCTACAGCACGCACTCTCTCCAGTCTGAGTCAGTGTCTTGCCTGATTCTTAATTCTCTTAAAAAATATTCTAAGTAAATTGTAAAAACTTCTGTATTGTTATAGAGAAGAAAAAACAATCTTAAATTATTTTCAAAATAAGATATAAATGAAAATATATTAACCGTTATTCTAATATTAACTTTTCCTAATGGAACCATAACAAGCAATTTTGATGGTTATCATCAGCTGTTTGTCCTTCTTAACTTCACTGAAAACAAATGTGTCTCTAAGGGAAGCTACTCTAGTTAACATGTTGGCCAGATACTTGCGCTACTTTTATGACTAACAAAATTTAAAATCAGTGTAATTGTTTTAGTTTGTCGATGATTATGATATGATAGACTAAGTATCTGTTTAGCTGCGCTTTTTATTGGCACAAATTCAGAAGAAACGTGTTCTACACAGAGGCTGGCAAAATCTTCAAAAATTTAACAAAATCGAGTCAAGGGGGGGGGGGGGGGGGGGAAGGAGGGGGTCATAGTCGCACGTTAAGTCGTTCAGCTACTTGGGGAGAAAGATTTATTTAAAAAGTGCATTTATTTTTAACTTGTAACACTAAAATAATGAAAAACGTATTGATGTGACAAGATCTATGAGTTTGAAGTATTGAAGCAGGGATGTGTGCGAAGTGTGACGGTGGTAAAATTGGAAACAAAAACTGCATGAGTTAATTTATGGAAGATTCTTAATTAATAACTAAAATTAACTCAAGTTGAGTGAAGATATACGACTACAGCGAATAAAAAACACCCACACGCCACGCACACGCGCACGCACACGCAGACACACACACGCACACAAAAGAAGTTAATATAAATCAACGTAGGCCAATTAGGTGACAATTTACAGTGATTTTTTTTTTTATCAAAGACACGACTAACTGCAATAAATTTCCATTGGCTGTTGCAGTCAATTCATCTAAAATGGTGCGACTTAATTAACACAACTTAATACATAGCAAAAGTTGAAGGGTTAGAACTTAATTAAAATTATCTCTCTTAGATTATGGATGGCTAGTTAAAAGTGTGTTTTCTAGGCTATACTACACTGGTCCCCCCCCCCGTGCCGCCCCCCCCCCCCTGTTACCTGCCAGATTTTTCTTTCAGGTGTCATCCATAAATGACGTCATGCTTTTTTGGACGATTTTCACCTCTCCCCTCCGTCACACATCATCACACAAAATCAGACCCCCCCCCCCGAATATGACGTCACACCTCAGCCTACAAACCCCTCAAAATCGCAGTTGAATTTTTCTTAAAATACGATATTTTTTCCAAAATCTTGTCTGAACTCTGTCAACATAGAGTATTTTAATCAATTCCTATTACAATTTATCAAAACAGTTTACTAAAACGCGAAATAACATTTAAAATCAGTTTTCCAACATTGCTTTTTTATAATTCAATAGTGTGACGTCACGCCATCACACATTGTCACAAAATTACGCCCCCCCTCTCCCCTACGAGTGTGACGTCATTTTTGGATGACCCCTCAGACATTTTCTCCGGGGTGAGGGTAGGGGAAGAGGCACTTGAAATTTTTGGGGTGGGGGACAGATGGGGACATACATTTCGGAGGAGGGGCGGACACTGGTTAAAATATTATATTTTCTACATAATTTATCTATTTTTCTACGTCGTCCTTCGTTCGGATGGAAAAGGCGGGTGGTGGTGGTGAGGAGCAGTGTTTCTTCCAGACTTTTGTCTCCGGGGGGGGGGGGGGGGGGCACTTGAAATTTTCGGGGGGGGGGGGCTGTAGACTTTCTTTGGGGGGACGGACACTGTTAAAAGTATATATTTTCTATATAAATTATATACATTTCAATTCGTTCGGGGGGGGGGGGGGGCTTTGCCGAAGAGATGCCTGGAAGAAACTCTGGTGAGGGGGGGGGGGGAATGGTGGACATGCTTGAATGTGGGCTGTTTGAAGAGGGGATATACCTGTAAGAAACTTTTACCAGACACTAATATGTGTGACTGAATTCAGCTCTGAGTTCTCACTACCCTAATAAACAGTTGATTACAAGTTAAGTTACAAGATAATAAACATGTAGTGTCTTGACCAAGAGGAAGCCACTCTTTTTTTTTTAAAATCCTAAGTTTATCTGTCTTCGTCTTAACAATAATTAGTGTCGCAGCTAGGAGAAATAAACGAATACATATCCCAAAGTAGGCCTACATGATGAATGTGAAGCCTGGTGCATCCCGCACAGTCATTGCTACACTACTAGTCTAGTTTGATTCAGGTAGGTCTACTAAATATAAAAATAGCTGTTTTACCGTAGGTCGCAATCTTTACCTTATGAAACATGCTAGGCATTTCCTACAATCCTACCTCTCCAACTACTAAAATAAAAACTTTATTTATGGTTTAAAAAAAAAACTTTGCATCGACCGGGAATCGAACCCGGGTCACCCGCGTGGCAGGCGAGTATTCTACCACTAGACCACCGATGCCTATACTAACAATGAAGTATTATGGGTAAGAATACTAGTAATTTTTAAATATGTTCATTTCTTGTTTCTATTATCGAACGAAAGCAGAGACCTGAGAAAAAAACATTTTAAAAAGGACAGTCTTTTTACACCCCTCCCCTCCATCCTACCTTAGTGCTGACAGGTCATAGCCAATGAGATTTGACAAGGTGTCAAGATATGACAACCCAGCCACCCGCCACGTGTCGAAGCCAAGGACGGACAACTCTTTGCAAGGTCAAACATTTTGTTGTAAACAGGTATCGCGTTACGCAATATACGATCGTGTCAGACGCCACGCTACAAAGCCCATAACGCCGACAATTCGAGTGTGTCCCCCTCCTTTATACAGGACAACATACGACTTTTAATGTGCCGCCTCTTTTTGTATGCCACAGAAGTAGGTGGTATGCCCACGACCATAACAATCTGATTCAGATTTTCTTCCAGGCATCTCTTGAGGGGGGGGGGGGGGGGGCTTAGAAATGGAATTTAGTCCGCCCCCTCCCCCAAAATATAAATCAAGCCCCCCCCCCTCCCCGGGAGACATAAGTCTGAAAGAAACACTGATCGGATTATGTAACGTTAAAAAAATGGTGTGTCATTTTTAGACCAGCAACAAGGGAAACTAGGTAATTAGCTATAAATAGCATTTGGCGTATATGATCAGAGCTTCTTTCAGACATTTGTCTCCGGGGAACGGGGCGCACTTAAAAGTTTCCGAAGTAGGGGGGGGGGGGGCACTGGTTAAAGTAAGCTATATAGGTTCGAGAGATACCTAAAAAAAACTCCGTATGCGGTTAATATTCCTGTGGGTAGGGACGGAACAACTAGAATCACGAGTACCTAAACCAGCGTTCTTATTTTTCCTTGGTTTCCAGACTCGTCAGATGTTGGCTCATCCCGCTGCAAGTAAAGTTGGAACTGTAACACAGTGAACAGTCCATTCATGTAGGTCTTGTTACATTACTTAAACAGATACAGCTCTTTGAGTTAACTTTATTCTTATATACACGAGCTGAGACTACACGTCCTGTCTCTGACTCTACCTTTCGTTAACTGACGAACATGTAGGGCCTACACATCAACTACACATAGCTGATGACACAGTGAACACTCAAAGGGCGTAATCATGATATACATAATACAAGGGACGTAACAATCGCTAACAAGACATAATGTTACAGGCATGTCAAAACCTCACATTCCTCTGTCTCAATAGACTGAAACGGTACATTTTTTTGTGGTCCAGAATTTACGAGACTAAAAGTCTTTTGTTAACTTATCAAGACTCAAGCTACAACTAAACAAAATGGACTCTATTATTACTGGAGCAGGATATTACTCCCCCTGTTAATCCCTCCCCCCTGGTCATTTAGAGATATGGATACGGATACGTTAAGGATACGTTAGGGATTGGTGTGTTTAGGATTAAAGATGGGGCTTGGAAAAGGAATAGCGTTAGGGATGGGGAAAGAGACAGATTGTGCTAGAATTAAGGATGTTGATAGAAAGAGAGATATAGATTGAAATAGCAGGGTTAGGGATAGAGATAGCTTTAGAGGTAGGGATATGGAGATGGATAGTAAGATGTAATTAATAAGAGGTAATTAATACGTGGAGGAAATGACCGAGGGATCTCTGACCCGGGGGGGGGGGGGGGGCGGGGGGAAGATGTGATGTCCAAGATCGTCATTCTAATACACTGAAGAGATAATCATTCTTTCTGAAGAAAACACAAAACTTGCACCACTAGCTTAACACAGTCAACCTTTTCATACTGCTGGAAACACAAGTCTTATTCGTCAATGTTTTTAATTCTTTAAATAGTAACAGAAGCATTTTTAACCAATACACACAACTTGATTGCAGACGTAATTCTAGTCAGTGCGTTAAAATGGATGAGGTATTATTAAAGTACGTCCATTGATACAAACAGAATGGGTGGTTATATATATATGTATATGTTTAAGTATATATTTTATATCGCTTCCCAAGAACCAGACTGCTCTAATTCTAGCATTTCTTTATTAGGTAGGACCTTCTTGGCGCAATGGAATTGTGTAATAATGGTATGAGAAATGGTCACGCAATATTTTTGGGCAAGCTATTTTGTTGGATTTGAAGCAAAATGACCTTGAAAATGGCTAAATAAAATGGAATTAGAACACTCTGATTCTCGGGATAATTATATATATATATATATATATATATATATATATATATATATATATATATATATATATATATATATATATATATATATATATATATATATATATATATATATATATATATATATATATATATATATATAATTTATATAATTATATATATACATTGTATATATATATATATATATATATACATTGTATATATATATATATATATATATATATATATATATATTACATATATATATATATACAATGTATATATATAATTATATAAATTATATATGTATATCACGTAGGTTGGAATGTTGGGGAAGGGATGGGGTTAGGACCCTTCCTATCTTCTAAGAACCCATAAACAACAGCTGTCTTACAATATGTACAGCTATTGTACAGCGAAAACTTAACGTTCTAACAACCATCATATATATATATATATATATATATATATATATATATATATATATATATATATACATATATATATATATATACTTATATATATATATGAAGTGCACAGTACAAACACTAAATGCTTGATCTAGGAAGACAATAGAATAAGTAGACACTTAAATAACACACATTGCTTACATGTTGAAAGTAAATGGCATGAACAATATTTACAATATTCTATTAAGTCAAACTTGCTTATAAATTCAGTAATATTCGAAACACATGTTAATACATCAGTGAAGTAATCATTTAAATATAAACATTGACACATGTGAAAAATGAAGATTAATATCAGTGTTGACTTTTAATGAGGAAATATATTAATGAGTTCATAGGTTCATTAAAATATGTTTATGAGTTCATAGGTTCATTAAAATATGTTTATGAGTTCATAGATTCATTAATAGTAATGTGTGAAGGCACGAGTTTATATTTCTTGCATTAGACTTTCTTACAAACCACAAGAAAGGCTAACATTATGTGTAACTATAACAAAGTACACAATGTGAGACTATAAAAAGAAGTCTTTGTGTAATATTATCAACCTTACACACATAACCTAATAGTAAAACATAAAATAAATAGTATTATAACAACAGACAATTTAATTAATAATGCTTTTGGGTTTAATTAATTCTATATTAAAATCTGAACTATGGTCGAGTATAGGAACGTCGATGTTTAAATATTTATATAAAATGTTTGATAAAAGGTAAAAATATCATTTAATGTATGGAAATAAGTTTTTCTTTCAACAAGGGAGTCCACTCAACTTGTTCTGAATCAAATAGTTCATAACAAATAAGTTGTTATCGCCCTTTAGCTTGGCCCTTGGGTTAATAAAGGCTAGTGATTATTTTATATATTTATCACTTTCACGGTGCATCATCAGACAAAGTGTCGCAGGAGTTTGTTCCCTTCGGTAGGCAACATTTTGCTATCACAGTGCGCAGGCTCACAACGTCAATTTGCATAAACAGCTGCCCTCTCAGGGCCGAAATTATCTCCCTTCACTAGTTGACACTGGCATCAAACAGTGAGGTTCCAATGATGAGTTCCCACAAGGGGCTTGTTTTCAATTCACCATACCTTCAACTGGAACAAAAATTCATCGGTAAACTAATTCGGTAAACTAATTCGAAAAAATACATATTATAATAGATGTTTATAATATATGTCATATTTTTAATTGATATATTTTGTGTATATAAAAATATATATATGGGCATGTATATCTATGCCAATGCGCGTATAATATATTTAAAAATAAACAATTGAGTAAATATATATGTACACACACACACATGTGTATATATATATATATATATATATATATATATATATATATATATATATATATATATATATATATATATATATATATATATATATATATATATATATATATATATATATATATATATATATATATATATATATATATATATATATATATATATATATATATATATATATATATATATATATATATATATATATATATATATACACACATATACACACAAGTGTGTGCAGATTTAAAGTTGACTTGATTACATTAAGTTACATTAAACATATCATTTTGTGGATGACTTTTATAACGTAAACTATACAATTCTACCCTAGAGAAAAAGTTTGACTGAGTGACCGCACATCTTTCTAACAATCACGTGACGTACCGTGTGACACATGTGACGAGTACGGCCCGTGGTCAACCACCGACTCCCCTCCGTCATCCTCACTCAAGTAGTTGTCTAAAAACTCGAAAGCCGTGTCTGTGATTTTACCTAAAATAAAAGACATCAAGAGTTCATTCATTGTATAAGTTATGATAATGTATGCATAGCCAGGAACATAGGTAGGCTCCACTAAAGAATAGTGAGTAGGGTGGGAAGGGGGGTGGAATAATTGGAGGTTGTTAGTGTATGAATAAATGTGTACGACTAGTCGGTACACATGTAGTGTTAATGTGTACAGGTGGGTTGTCATCTGGTACACGTACAGCGCAAGAGTAGACTAAATTAACGATTGACCGGATGTGCAAATGTATTGTCACTTCGTACGCATAACACGTTCATTGCGTACATACAATATACAGAGTGTATACAAATACAGAGATGAAACACTATGTGTCTTGATATACGCATTAAATAATACCTAATCCGGTAAGATTAACCTAAGATTATTCCAACAAGCTGGGTTTGATTGGAATGTACTATAGACCAGAGAGTTTAAACAGCGGCAAAATCTGGATAATATAATATCACCGGACTTTTTCGTACGTCCACAATCTACTAGTACGTACAAGTATAATCAATCTAAACAAGTATTTAAACATATTAAAACGAATTATGTTAATTAATTTTATGTGACGCCCCACTCCACCCCACGTTATATGTGAACGTAAAACAGGTGTCAGACATATTACCCTGATGTAACGGCACATATCTCTTCAAAGTTCACCCCCCCCCCCTCCCCTTAACAAAAAAAAAGTTTCTTTTCCCTTTGAAGATGCCGTCGAACGTTTTGGGAGAGGTGTGTGGACTAAGCGCTCTTTGCTCAAGACTTTCAGATGTGTGTGTCTAGTGGTTAGCCAGATTTGTCCTCAAATAAACGCTCGTGTGGGGTCAAATATTTTCACACATTTGTCAAACTAACAGACAAGACAGGCTGCAACTGATAAGATTTGAACTGGCCAGGGGCAAGGGTAGTGTGTGTGTGTGATCCTGATTAAAGCCATCTTTTAGAAGGCGATGTAGGAATTTGAGGCTTTGTACAAGTTACAGTACAGAGGCAGTATTAACTGTCCGTTTCTATGGTAACTGTAAAAATGGACTCGACGGTGTTGCCAGCACCATGTCTAGCCTCGGTCATAGAAAAAAAAATACTAACTCTGGTACTTAACAGGATTTGACGGTCTGATGATTGGGACCGAGGAACTAGCCGGACTGGAGTCTTGCCCCTAATGCCTACCTATGTGGCTTATGTCACATAAAGTGCACAATTTAAAAAAAAAATTGCAACACTGAAGAGGATATCCTCCAAAAAACACCATTAAGTATTACGTGTCAAACATAAATTGTTATACGTCCTATTGCCCATTAACTTTGATTTCAGCCTGCTTTTCTTTCTGTATTTGTTTCCCTAATCTTTGTCCTTCCAAGAACAATATGCAAAACAGCAGATGTTGTTTATTTTGGAGTTTTCTTTCCTAGATAGGTTGCTAACGAGCCTAATCTATCTGGGGGGTTCGAATTTAAGTAAATTTTGTTTCGATGTCGTTTCTTTCCATGTTAATTTTTTTTTCAAGCTAGTGTGTTATGGGAAAAAGGGGGGAGGAAGCTGACGAAACATAAAACTGGTTACTGAACGAAGACTCAACACTAAGCGGTAAGGTTAGAGCTCAGAATTTTGATTGGCCTACCATTCCTGAATATTAATTGAACATTCAAACAGATCGACTCTACTGTATCTACTTTCTGAAACACCTAACCTTGAATATGAACTTTGGACTAGCCGAAGAATATCTTACCTGCTGTCGTTACATCGTCCACCAGAGCATCGTGATCGACGCCCTCCGCCACATGATTGACAACATCAGAGTCATTCGTAATGCTGAGACTAGACGGCGTCGCCACCTCTTCCTTCACGCTGCTCAAGGCGTGGTGGTGAACACTGTGTGGGATACCGGGCGGCTTGGATGGTTTCGATCCTGTGTTTTTGTCCACCACATCAGAAATATCAGGCAGGACTAGGTTATCGACAATGTCCTTGAAGACGTTGATTTCTTTCGTATCGATTTCGTCTTCGACCACTGTTTCTATAACCTCAGATTTTGTCGTTTTCGTGACCGTTTTTATTTCTTGGTAGATGCCGTTTTCGTAGGACGTTGTCGTAGTGACATGCGTGGTGGCGTTGGGAGGCAGAGGGTTGTTGGGGCGGAGTTTCTCCAGCACCATATCGTTCATGCGTTTCAGCGTGGGATTCCCCGAGGATTCGTTGTCTTCTATAATCAGCGCTGATTTGGTGGGCTTGGTGTAGACGCTGCCTTGGTAATTGTAGCGTTGGAAGTCGAGGTCGTTTTCAACTTCGGTCAGGTCAGGGAAATCGTCTTTCGGCGCGTCTTTCAGCGAGAAGGGCGAGAATGTCTTCTGGTCGTCGGTTTTGTTTTTAGCCAGCAGCTTGATGCTGTCGGTGGCCGAACCTTCGTTGATGTCGTTCTTTGAGACGTAGGTCGAAACCATCCCGAGCGGGCCCTTGGGTAGGGCGATGACGCTTGACGGGGCGTGGTCTTTGGTTGAGGAGTTTCTGGAGATCCCGGCTTCAGGCGAGAAGCCTTTGTTGATATACGATCCATTGACCTCTTCAACCTGACGACCTTTAACCCCGGTCTGTTTATCATTGCTGATGAGGGACTTCTGGGAGTTAGACCTGTCTTTGGAGGAGGTCTGGCTCTGGTTGCCCTGAGAGGAGCCGGTGTCGTGTTTAGCCGGCTGCCGGCTGCTGCTGCTGCTGTGGACGAACCGGTGGACGTCGCTCTGGGATCGCTCCACGCGGTTGGTGAGTTTGACGTTGTCGTTGTAGTAGTAGGGCGAGTGCTTGCTCTCGGACACCTTGGATCTCATGGGACCGCCGTTGAGGCTACCTAAAACAAAGATATTGACTGGCGTTAATTACTCGGCATTAATTAACTGATTGGACGGCCTGGTCGATTGGTAGAGAGTTAGGCTGGTAGCATGAAGGTCTCGAGTTCGGATCTATGGTAGAGAGTTAGGCTGGTAGCATGAAGGTCTCGAGTTCGGATCTATGGTAGAGAGGCTGGTAGCATGAAGGTCTCGAGTTCGGATCTAGACGTCCCTGAGTCAGTCCATCTCTGACGTTAGGGAAACAAAGGTGGCATAGTGCTGACCACCCTGCCCCCATACATCCCGACGTTTTAAAAACAAATAAACTCTACTTTACCCGCCCTATGTGTCTTAAGCACGGACGAGAATGTTTAGATATCACGTTGTATAATTTATTGTCATCGTAAAATCCCAACTTAATCGATTTTCCTAGGCCGATGTCGGTTGATAAATTACAAAAAAAAAAAAAAAACAACAGATTAATCACTTTTTTATTCCATGTACTAAAACGAATATTTGTTTTTTTTAAATTTATTTTAGCCGTTCTCGCGTATTGATTACTCGTAAATTCAATAACATTAACATCGATGGCTGGAGATAAGGTTAATGTTAGCCATGGCGTTCAAGACTTACTTTTAGAGTTGGAATGGTAGACATCGAGTGACTCCACCCCCATTGGGGGCAGGTTGTAGTAATTTGGCTGCAGTTGTTGGCTGTGGTAGATACGCTGAGGTCCCGGCACTAGAGGATAAAAAAACAAGATGGCTGAAAAATATGGTTTATTAGAGTTTGATGGATTCTTACCTAAGTGTACTAAAACGTTGAATTATAATCGTTTTTCTTGTTAATTCCGAATAAATTATTTAAAAAAAATGAGTTAAAGTTAGAAAAAAACTTTGAAAGCAATTTCATAATGTAAATTATCATTAATTTTTTTTTGCTTTTATTAGCTCACACTTTAAATCTCATCACCATAATTAATCAAATAGACTAGTGATGCAGTATCAAGCATGATAAGTAAAAATTGTTATTGAATTTGTCACGATAATGCAAAATGCTGATCCTATGTAGATTAATTGCGATTGGTGCTACACATTGTATATTATGTTATAGAAGTGCATGGTGCGCTACAGAATATCACGTGACAGACCGGAAGTGTGCAACTTTCCCGCCAAAACTTGAGGGGTGAGCAGGTGTAATATGTTCATGAAGATTAATTATTATTATAATTGTTAGTATAAAGAATATCATGAGCTAGGTTTGCTGTTCTAGTATTGAAAAATACGCCAAAATCATGCATGGAAGGGTTGGTTTTAGTAAGCGTGTTAAATTAAAACGTTATTGCTTGATTCTTAAAAAGTTATTTTAAACAAGAGTAGTGTAGGCCTACTTAGCACTACTAAATCTGCTAGATCGACTTATTTAAAAAATTGGAATAAATTATTGAATAAAAGTTTAGCAAACATTATGACAAAATTATAAAAAAAGTATTTAACAAAGCATTTTTAAATGTGTTATTTAAAAAAAAAAGTAATTAGTACAAGAATAATTACAAGTTTTATTAATTTACTCGAGAGTTGTTTATTATACGTGTATCAATAATTGTAATACAAACGTTAATTTAAAAAATGGACCCCAGCACAAGTTTATTGTTTGAAACTGGTTAAACTAACCCAGGGATCCGTATGGTGGGGTGTGAGCATGTGTGTGTGGGGGTGGGGTGTGAGGATGTGTGGGGGTGGGTGGGGTGTGAGGATGTGTGGGGGTGGGTGGATGTGGTGGGAGGTGGTTGGGGTGTGAGGATGTGTGTGTGGGAGTGGGTGGGTTGTGAGGATGTGTGGGGGTGGGTGGGGTGTGAAGATGTGTGGGGGTAGGTTCGGGTGTGAGAATGTGTGGGGAGGGGGGTGGGGTGTGAGGATGTGTGGGGAGGGGGGGTGGGGTGTGAGGATGTGTGGGGAGGGGGGTGGGGTGTGAAGATGTGTGGGGGTAGGTTCGGGTGTGAGAATGTGTGGGGGTGGGTAGGGTCAAGTAAAAACCTATACATTGTCATTTTGAATGCAAATGCATTCTATTCCACAGAGAGGGGATCAAATTTAATGTTTAACCAAATGTTATTCCTTATCATTGGTTTAAAATGCCTACCCCTACCTCCACTTCACATATTGTAAACATTTATAGATCACTGGTTTAAACTCTCCCTCCCCCCCCCCCCCCCCCCCCCGTCCCCTTTACAGATTGTAAACAAACATTATAAATAGAATAATGGTATTGTTATTGTGTGTGATAAACACACATAGTTTATATTGCGTGATGAGATAATAGTTTTTAGTGGTAAGATAAACATCTATAACAGTTGCATGCATAAATATGATGATAAATGACGACAAACCACTAGTTAGTTCAACACCACGTTAGGTAACCCAAACATGCAATAAAATAAAAAGAAACCAAACGAAGAATGAAACACTTCTCTTACTGAAGTACATTGGTCGGGGAGGGTAGTAGGTAACACCTGAAAACATGCACACAAATGATCACAGTTCGACTCCGTTCATGAATATAGTGAGTGGTGGGGTGGTCAGACAAGGTGACCCGTAGTGGGTGCCAGCTAATCTTATCTACTCAGACCTTAGTGGCTACCTGCTACTCAGACCTTAGTGGCTATCTACTAATCAGACCTTAGTGGCTATCTATCTACTAATCAGAACTTAGTGGCTACCTGCTACTCAGATCTTTGTGGCTACCTGCTAATAAAAAGCTACCTGCTAATCAGACCTTAGTAGCTATCTGCTAATCAGATCTTAGTGGCTATCTGCTAATCAGACCTTAGTGGCTATCTACTAATCAGACCTTAGTGGCTATCTACTAATCAGACCTTAGTGGCTATCTACTAATCAGACCTTAGTGGCTATCTACTAATCAGACCTTAGTGGCTATCTACTAATCAGACCTTAGTGGCTATCTACTAATCAGACCTTAGTGGCTATCTGCTAATCAGACCTTAGTGGCTATCTATCTACTAATCAGATCTTTGTGGCTACCTGCTAATAAATGGCCACCTGCTACTCAGATCTTTGTGGCTACCTGCTAATAAATGGCTTCCTGCTAATCAGACCTTAGTAGCTATCTGCTAATCAGATCTTAGTGGCTATCTACTAATCAGACCTTAGTGGCTATCTGCTAATCAGACCTTAGTGGCTATCTATCTACTAATCAGATCTTTGTGGCTACCTGCTAATAAATGGCTACCTGCTAATCAGAACCCAGTGGCTACCATTTGATCAAAACGTATTAGCTATCATAATCTTAGGTAACTACACATTTCTATTGTTTGGTCAGTCATTCATGGTTGCTAAAATGCGAGGTGTTTCCTTAATGAAAACATCTCGCAAAATTACTTAAACAGCGAAACTAGACTTCATCATTCCACAGCAACCCAAGTTCAAGTTGATATCAACATTTTAGAAAACCCTAACGTTAAAACACACAACAAGCAGACTGTCACAACTAAAAACGTTCGATCTTTGGTCATCGTTGGCAAGAATAATTGAAAACATTGTTAACAATCTTAGAAATGTATTTTTTTTACATGTTAATCACATATCAAAATAGATTTGAAAATTCCACAATTATTTCTGACAAAGACCTATGTTCGAGACGCCACTTGTTCATTTTGTTTCGTGGTAGTTATTTCTATTTGTTTTTTTTTAAAAATATTTTTCATCCACAAAGCTTAAACAGACAATACAGTTTCCGATTCAGGTTTATAAACAAAGTTATTTATAGATCAACACCCAAATCTACACAATAAACAACTAACATCAAACGTGCCCCCGTTTTACCAATCTATTTTTAACACAACCAACGCCATGTTTACAACACCTAATTTTAGCCTCCAATACAACACGTGACTTACTCGGATGGGGTATTCTCATTTCCGACGTGGCCCTCTGAAGGTGGAGCGGGGCGTCTCTCTTGTGGTTCATGTCCCTGTTATTGTGGTCCACATAGTAGGCCGGGGACGGGGAGGTAGTGTAGATACCAGGCTTGTCCATCCACAGTCCCGAACTGGTGACCTGGGGACGAGGGTATTGTTTTGATGGTATAGGGCGTTACGCAGATGGAGGGGGGGGGGGGGGGATTGGGGGTGGGTGTAGTGAAGTAAGGGGTGGGTTAGATGGGTTACATACATAACCATACATACATAACCATACACACATAACCATACATACATAATCATACATACATAACCATACATACATAACCATACATATATAACCATACATATATAACCATACATACATAATCATACATACATAACCATACATACATAACCATACATACATAACCATACATACATAACCATACACACATAACCATACATACATAACCATACATACATAACCATACATACATAAACATACATATATAACCATACATATATAACCATACATGCATAACCATACATACATAACCATACATACATAACCATACATACATAACCGTACATATATAACCTTACATACATAAACATACATATACATATATAACCTTACATACATAACCACACATACATAACCATACATATATAGCCTTAAATACATAACCATACATACATAACCACACTCTGAAGTTACCATTTCTAAACCTGGTGATCCATGCAGCAGATGAAGTAGAGTTCATCTGGTTTTGTAACCTTTGAAAGGATATTGTGGTCAGCTCTACTCTCTAACGTGAGTCAGGTACCCATCATAGCTGGGTGAACTCAGAGACGCACCACGGTCTCAAGCCCAGGGTTCTAATTCGATTCTTTCGGTTACACACTCGTACGCTCTAATACCCGACCAAGCCTTCCCATATACATTAGAAATTTATATAAAAACTATTTTTGGTGCGTTTCGATTTGGCATACCCACATGTACACGTTTTAATATAGCCAGCAAAGATAGGCAGCAAAGATAGGCAGCAAAGATAGGTAGCAAAGATAGGCAGCAAAGATAGGATGCAAAGATAGGCAGCAAAGATAGGCAGCAAAGATAGGCAGCAAAGATAGGCAGCAAAGATAGGCAGCAAAGATAGGCAGCAAAGATAGCCGGCAAAGATAGGCAATAAATATAGCCAGCAAATATAGCCAGCAAATATAGCCAGCAAATATAGCCAGCAAATATAGCCGGCAAAGATAGCCAGCAAATATAGCCAGCAAATATAGCCAGCAAAGATAGCCAGCAAAGATAGCCAGCAAAGATAGGCAGCAAAGATAGGCAGCAAAGATAGCCGGCAAAGATAGGCAATAAATATAGCCAGCAAATATAGCCAGCAAATATAGCCAGCAAATATAGCCAGCAAATATAGCCGGCAAAGATAGCCAGCAAATATAGCCAGCAAATATAGCCAGCAAAGATAGCCAGCAAAGATAGCCAGCAAAGATAGGCAGCAAAGATAGGCAGCAAAGATAGCCAGCAAATATAGCCAGCAAATATAGCCGGCAAAGATAGCCAGCAAATATAGCCAGCAAATATAGCCAGCAAAGATAGGCAGCAAAGATAGGCAGCAAATATAGCCAGCAAATATAGCCAGCAAAGATAGCCAGCAAATATAGGCAGCAAAGATAGCCAACAAAGATAGCCAACAAATATAGGCAGTAAAGATAGCCAACAAAGATAGCCAACAAATATAGCCAGCAAATATAGGCAGTAAAGATAGCCAACAAAGATAGCCAGCAAATATAGCCAGCAAAGATAGCTAACAAAGATAGCCAACAAATATAGCCAGCAAATATAGGCAGCAAAGATAGGCAGCAAAGATAGGCAGCAAAGATAGGCAGCAAAGATAGGCAGCAAAGATAGGTAGCAAAGATAGGCAGCAAAGATAGGCAGCAAAGATAGGCAGCAAAGATAGGTAGCAAAGATAGGCAGCAAAGATAGGCAGCAAAGATAGGCAGCACAGATAGCCAGCAAAGATAGGCAGCAAAGATAGGCAGCAAAGATAGGCAGCAAAGATAGCCAGTAAAGATAACCAGTAAAGATAGGCAGCAAAGATAGGCAGCAATGATAGGCAGCACAGATAGCCAGCAAAGATAGGCAGCAAAGATAGGCAGCAAAGATAGGCAGCAAAGATAACCAGTAAAGATAGGCAGCAAAGATAGCCAGCAAAGATAGGCAGCAAAGATAGGCAGCAAAGATAGGCAGTAAAGATAACCAGTAAAGATAGGCAGCAAAGATAGGCAGCAATGATAGGCAGCACAGATAGCCAGCAAAGATAGGCAGCAAAGATAACCAGTAAAGATAGGCAGCAAAGATAGCCAGCAAAGATAGGCAGCAAAGATAGGCAGCAAAGATAACCAGTAAAGATAGGCAGCAAAGATAACCAGTAAAGATAGGCAGCAAAGATAGGCAGCAAAGATAGGCAGCAAAGATAGGCAGCAAAGATAGGCAGCAAAGATAGGCAGCAAAGATAGGCAGCAAAGATAGGCAGCAAAGATAGGCAGCAAAGATAGGCAGCAAAGATAGGCAGCAAAGATAGGCAGCAAAGATAGGCAGCAAAGATAGGCAGCAAAAATAGCCAGCAAATATAGCCAGCAAAGATAGGCAGCATAGATAGGCCTACATGACTCTGAAACTTGACTCTAGCCCAATCCCAATCCCAGACTGGAATGAAAAAGGAAGCAACCAACCTTAGGCAGTACGCCATTCTGCATGGAGCTGTGTGACGCCGTGCCCCCTGGGGTAGGGGGGTGCACCTTCCTCACCTCCTTACTCTTGCGCCGCTTACCTTTCCTGATGAGGAAATTTTTTTTATTAATTTTCTTTTACACGAAATTGAATTTCTAAAAAACAAAATGTACATGCCAAATTCTTGAGAATAACTCTACAAATAATTTTGGCCAACATTTCCATTGTGACACATGCGCTGTTTCATTAACAAGTCACCCAATGAATGAACATTGGTGCCTGTCGTATATTTTACCCCGTAACGAATTTATTGAATGGAAAGACTAACAAACACCACAGACAGCATGGATTCTTAAATGGCATTAATTTAACATATTGAGGTAACTCAAAATCCATTTCAAGCTCGCCTTTGTCATTATTTAAAAACTTCTAATTAAAATGTAGATCGAAGTCGAAATATTATGCAGTGTAAATAAAGATTATAATAATTAAATTAATTAAAAAAACGAAACAAAAATTAGCATGCAATAACTAAGTGAGGCGGGTCGACAAAGGTTACAAGCTGGGTACTAAATTCAGCTGAAAACATCCCATCATAGTGAGTACACATTCAAGCAGATATTTTAATTTGACGGATACAAATTATCGGTCCTAGGTGCTTTGACCACAGGTGCTTTGACCATAGGGGGTTTGACCATAGGGGGTTTGACCATAGGGGGTTTGACCACAGCGGATCTTTGACCATAGGGGGTTTGACCATAGGGTGTTTGACCACAGCGGGGCTTTGACCATAGGGGCTTTGACCATACCCCCTATGGTCAAACCCCCTATGGTCAAAGCACCTGTGGTCAAAGGTCCGCGCACCAAATTATCTCATAATATAAAACAGCAGTGCAGAAAGTCTCAGCGTCAGATATATATATATATATATATATATATATATATATATATATATATATATATAAATATATATATATATATATATATATAAATATATATATATATATATATATATATATATATATATATATATATATATATATATATATATATATATATATATATATATATATATATATATACGAAATAAAGGACAACCGCCTCCATCCTTGGGTACATCTGTATCAAATTAATTAAAAGCCCCCCCCCCCCCCCCCCTGGGGGTGTCGCCTGCCCCATTCCCCCACCCCACGGAGCCACTTGAACTCAGCGGCGGTGCATATACTCATACACATCAACGAACACAATTCCCACAAACACGGGATTGTATACAAATGTGGCCGTTAACGGTTGCAGATTTGTATGCCACTTGTGTGGATACATTTGAAATGTAAAGTTACCCACTGATGCGTACTGATGTTTGAGATGGATTTCTTGTTGATTTATTACTGACACATAGGGCAGATTCATTTCAGAAGATTTTAAAATTCTAGATTTTTTGTACACAAACATAAGTGACCACCTCCCCCTCCCCCCCCCCCCCCACAAAATAGAACAACTTGGCCAAACAACCGGTACTGCAAGAAGCTTCTAGCTCCTGCTGTAAACCACACCAAGAGCGCTAAATTGTGATAGAAATGGGGCAGCTAACAGACTAGCAGACTAGCAGTTAAAAATAAATGGAATTTATTTTTAAAAAAGAGAGAGAAAAATCTGGATTGGACTAAAATACTCAACAATGCGACCAGCTGCACAGGCAACAATTGTATCAGGGACACGGGCTATGAAAACATTGACTATATATACACACACATGTCGACGATGTAAGAAAGTGGCCTAGTTTTTACATCATTCAAAATTTTGAGATTGTAAACATATAGCAGAATTATTAGATAGCAATTTGCGCGTGTGTCCGTGCATGTGTGTGTATGTGTGTTTATGTTAGAGTGTGTGTGTGTGTGTTAGAGTGTGTGTGTGTGTGTGTTAGAGTGTGTGTGTGTTAGAGTGTGTGTATGTGTTAGAGTGTGTGTTAGAGTGTGTGTGTGTTAGAGTGTGTGTGTGTTAAAGTGTGTGTGTGTTAGAGCGGGTGTGTATGTGTTAGAGTGTGTGTGTGTTAGAGTGTGTGTGTGTGTGTGTGTTAGAGCGTGTGTCTGTGTTAAAGAAGGTGTAATTGTCTAGTTCATGAACTGGCTAGCTTGGCATATGAACTCTAATATTTCTTCGATATTAGTGTCACGTAAGTTTCGATTAGATAATCTCGATTGATTTTTTTCGGCGTGATTATCCTTTTTTATATTAATACATTTTATTTAATACATTTTATTATTGATCCTCCTTTCACTATTGAAGATTATTCGTTTTTTTAAATATCACTTCCTGATAACGCATGAAAAGCCATTCGAATTTAATAAAATCGAAACATAATTATTGCTGATATCGAACTGATATCGAACTGATTTAGAAAATTTTTGATCAGGGGAGTTAATTTGTCAAACACGCGATCTGTTCAATTACACGATCTATATTATTCTATATGCACATACATATTTATAGATGTCTACATAATATGTAGACTACGTAATATGATACAACCAATGGAATACATTTGATATGTTTTCTTGCTAATTAAAATTTTAGATCAGCAGTAGAAATAGAATAACTTTAGAATTAAATATGATTGGACGTTGTGTGATTAGGACAATGAGGGTGTAACAATGTGTGAAGGAAATCTATTGTGGAAATGTGTGGGTTGGGATTGTGTGGTGAGGGTATGTGTGTGGTTGCGTGTTTTAAAATATGTGTGGTAGTGTTTTAAAGAAAGGTGTATGGTTGTGTATTAATAAAAGTGTGTTTATATATTGAAGAAATGTGTATGGTTGTGTAATCATACACATGTGTTAATATATAGACGAAATGTGTATAATTGTGTATTGATAAAAGTGTGTTTATATTTTGACAAAATATGTATGACTGTGTATTGATAAAAATGTGTTTATATATTGACGAAATGTGTATGGTTGTGCATTGATAAAAATGTTTAAGTAGAAAAAAATGTTTACGTGTGGGTAATTTTTTGGAGAAATGATTGTTGTGTTTATAAACATACACGTAGGTAGGGGCAACTATAAATGTTCAATATCTAGATGAAGACATAAAAATTTACCAGTTCGCTCAATTTTGGAAGTAAAAGATGAACGGTATTTCAAGAAGTGGTATACTGTATACTGGGTTGTAAGTCTAGTCGTGGTTGGTGAGATGGTTGACTTGGAAGGTTGGGGAGTCTATTTATAACTAACAGTACAAACAGTTTAGCTAAGTAACTATATAACATTTGATAACATTTACACTTGTGAACCTACAAGTATACGCAGCGAAATGAAAACACACGTCGAAAGTATTTGTAGCTTAACTCTAGACAGCTGTCGTTAGGAGGCCATTTATAACATGCTACATCGTAATTATAAAAAAAATATATTACATGGTCACAGACGAAATGAATTATGATATATTTAATTATTCTCTAATTATGTCAATTAGCTTGACAAGAGTATGTCTAGGAAGCCAGGGTGATCGGGGTTTCTTGTAGAGTTTATGTTATAATTTTTTGTTGTTGTAGAACATGCGCAAGGCAGTTTATAACGAGTGTTTCTTTCAGACATTTGTTTTTCGCCGGGAGCTGGGGGGGGGGAAGGTCACTTGAAACTAATAATTTTTTTGCGGGGGGGGGGGGGAATGGACTGAAATTTGTATTTAAAAATATATTATATTGTGGATATAAATTATATTTCGTTTAGCCCCCCCCCCCCATCCCCCTAAAGAGATGCCCGAAAGAAACACAGAGGGTAGAGGGAGCTAGTGATCCATTCGTTAGATTGCGTTATGTGTTTTTTCATTGTGTCTATTGCAATGTTATATGAGAGTGTTTTAATTGTATTTTTTTTTTTAAATTTCTGAGGGGTTGGATAAGTACAATGTCTACACTGCCCTCGATCATTATTTTCATTCAATCTAAAGAGGGATTCGCAATTAATTCTTTAAAAAAAAATGATGTAGGAAGGTTTGGCTGTATCGTAGCTGTATCGATACATATAAAATAAATATTTCACGCTAGAGTATCGTTACACGCACAAATAGATATGAAACGTATCAGTATCGATACACCCAAAATAAAAAACAACATGTGAAAGCATCAATGTGGAAATAGAAAATACTTACAGGCAAATACAATCCATCAGTGGCAGATTTAAATCCTCAATAAATATGAACACAATATCAACTTTTCTTTCTTGATAAAATCATGTTTTTTTCCAGTTAGGCTTATTATTTAAAAGTCAAATTAATGACTTGACCAGTCACATTGTGGTCAGGATTGTCTGACCACTTAATCACGTGAGATCACGTGCAGCTTTATTTGAGTCAAACAGGCAGGTTGGTTGTAGTTAATGTTAATTAATTAAGTTCGTTTAAATTGAGCCTAATGACACAGCCGAGCAAATAAAATCTGCTTTGTTAATGTACAAACGTGAGGATTACTGACATGACAGGTGTGAGTAAAGCGTTAACACATGAATGTAGACACATACTCACACTTAAACACACTAAAACTTACACATGCATAGTCTCGCACACATAAACGTACACTAACATATACATATTACAGTAGTAGCAGTAGTATATACTTTCGTATGTTTATAAAAATAGGATAAATGATTTAAAAAAAATAAATCAGGAAATCAAAACTTGATGGAACCATTCATCAGCAATTTGAGAAAAACCTTCTCCAACAACTTGACAAAAATCTACAACAACAACTTGAAAAAACCTAAACCAGAAACTTGACAAAAACCTAAACCAGAAACTTGACAAAAACCTATACCATCAACTGGACAAAAGTCTACACCAGCAACTTGACACAAATCTACACCAACAACTTGACACAAATCTACACCAAAAACTTGACAAAAACCTACATCAGAAACTTGACAAAAATCTACACCAGAAACTTGACAAAAATCTACACCAGCAACTTGACAAAAAATATACAAAAGTAAATTGACAAAAACCTACTCGAGCAACTTGACAAAAAACCTACTCGAGCAACTTGAAAAAAACCTACTCGAGCAACTTGACAAAAATCTACACTAGCAACTTGACAAAACCTACTCGAGCAACTTGACAAAAACCTACCTCCAGACCTGACACCACACATAAAATCACCACAAACATAATTTTAAAAACATTAAAACAAGCATTAAAAAAATCAACCCCGACAACCTCAAACAACGCTGAAAGACCTGACGTAAAACACACAAACAAAATGGCTTCACGCTTCACGCCGCAGCCCGCCTGAATCATACACCCATCTCATGCGACACGAACATACCATCTGCTACATAAAAGGACCTAAACATGCCCTCCGTCAAAAGGACAACAACAAACATTATCCCAGTTACAAGAATATAACCCAAAACACATCTTAACCACGACGGTAATTTGTAACCATAGCAACAGAAGAGGTTAATTGATGAAAAGAAAATTAAAATTCCTCGAATTCCACAAATATTTTTTTCCTTAACGATAGAGATCCTTTTTAAACAAACACATTGGTAGGTTTTATCATACATTCCATCAATTCACAAAGAACTGCCATAACTTTAATGTTCGCGCTAGTAATTGAATTATTTCTTTACTTTTTTCGTGTCACATAAACTATAAAACTTTAATCTTTACTTTACATCAACTACAGCGTAGATGTTTGAAAAAAATAAAAAATAAAAAAAAAACCTCATTCTTCGAGCGTTCCTGTTGTTTTAAATGCACTTCGCTTCATCTCGGTAAGTGGAGGATTACAAGCATCAGTGTTTGTCATGCGCAGACGAGCGTCGCGGCATAAAGTGACTATGGGAGGTTTAACTATTTTTGACAAGGGCAGGAATGTTGGAGTGTTGACATGGGGCCTCTGGTAAGTAAAAAAAAAAAGAAAGAACGGAGACGACCCCCCCCCTCCCCCCTTGTTGCGTATCCTGACCCACATTTTTGACGGTAGGGTTTCTAAAACTTTAACAAAATTAACTTCCACTCGTTGTATAAATAAAATGTAATGCACATTTCGAGTCCTCTTGTATTAAAAAAAAATAGTTCTCAAACTACAGCTGTTTATTTTAAACGTAACTATTCTTATAAATCAGCAATTAAAAGCTGAAATTAATACACAGGGGGGACAGTTTTCCAGGTAGGACAAAAAAAAATCTGCACCGAGTTAGGATTGATGCTGGTCAACACCTGACGTGTTTATCATCCTTACGTTGTATGGTGTCTATATTTAGATGGGGAGGCTTAAAATCAGAGATTAGTGCATTGTTAAGCTTGATTAAACTGGACTAGAATTTAGTGTATGTGTTTGGTGGGGATGGGGTGATGGGTTAAAGTGAAAAGTCACGAAAAGTGGCGATAAACAATTGAAAAAAGAAATCAGCTTATCTGGGATCTAAATCTACTTGCTTTAAGCCAATCTAAACTTGTGTGTAGACAAAAGGTGGTGTGAGCAGTAGCGTAGCGAGGGGGGGGGGGGGGGGGGCGGGGGGGGGGGGGGACATATGTCCCCGGGCGCCGAGCTTAGGGGGCGCCAAAATAGGGTTGGAAAAATAAGTTGAAAGGTTGAGGGGGGCGCAAATTGAAAGTTTGAGGGGGGGGGGGTGCAAATCGAAAGCTTGAGGGGGGGGGGTGCAAATCAAAATCTCGAGGGAGGGGGGGGTGCAAATCGGAAGTTTGAGGGTGGGGGGTGCAAATCGTAATCTCGAGGGGGGGTGGTGCAAATCGAAAAGTTTGTCCCCGGGCGCCGGGAAGGGTCGCTACGCCTCTGGGTGTGAGGCCTTTATTAAGTCGAGAATTGAGAGAAGCTAGTTACACACGATAGCCAACTCGATGGCTAAAATTTATAGATGGTTTAGCGATGTTGTGGGTGATTAATACAATGGGCAGCTCTACTGAAGGTTGAAAATATTCAGCACGACTAAAGGATGAAAATATTCAGCACGACTAGAAGATGAAAATATTCAGCACGACTAAAAGATGAAAATATTCAGCACTACTAAAAGATGAAAATATTCAGCACTACTAAAAGATGAAAATATTCAGCACGACTAAAGGTTGAAAATATTCAGCACGACTGAGAAAGGCTATTAAAGACACTAAGATGAGAACAAGAGAAAAGAAAACTGGTATAATTGCATTTAGCTAGATGCTGATAAAATATGATGATGATTTTACCAAGCGAAGCATGTTCAAGGTTGATGCACAGATGTGGTAATATGTTGTGGGACTATGTAGGGATGTGGTAAGATGTGGTTGGGGTGTGGTAAGATGTGGTTGGGGTGTGGTAAGATGTGGTTGGGGTTTGGTAAGATGTGGTTGGGGTTTGGTAAGATGTGGTTGGGGTGTGGTGGGATGTGGTAAGATGTCGCTGGGATGTGGTAAGATGTGGTTGGGTGTGGTGAGTGGCGAGATGTGGCTAGGATGTGGTAAGATGTGGTTGGGGTGTGGTGGGATGTGGTAAGATGTCGCTGGGATGTGGTAAGATGTGGTTGGGTGTGGTGAGTGGCGAGATGTGGCTAGGATGTGGTAAGATGTGGTTGGGGTGTGGTGAGTGGCGAGATGTGGCTAGGATGTGGTAAGATGTGGTTGGGGTGTGGTGGGATGTGGTAAGATGTCGCTGGGATGTGGTAAGATGTGGTTGGGTGTGGTGAGTGGCGAGATGTGGCTAGGATGTGGTAAGATGTGGTTGGGGTGTGGTGGGATGTGGTAAGATGTCGCTGGGATGTGGTTGGGTGTGGTGAGTGGCGAGATGTGGCTAGGATGTGGTAAGATGTGGTTGGGGTGTGGTGGGATGTGGTAAGATGTCGCTGGGATGTGGTAAGATGTGGTTGGGTGTGGTGAGTGGCGAGATGTGGCTAGGATGTGGTAAGATGTGGTTGGGGTGTGGTGGGATGTGGTAAGATGTCGCTGGGATGTGGTAAGATGTGGTTGGGTGTGGTGAGTGGCGAGATGTGGCTAGGATGTGGTAAGATGTGGTAAGATGTGGTTGGGTGTGGTAAGATGAGGCAGGCCATTCAGCAGACGAAACGTTTGCCACGTTCCCAGTTAGACAGAGATGGTAGCGAGAGACCTTGACCTTGAGCTCACCCTGGCGTGATACAACCAATCGATGATCAGCTCAAGCAGGAAACTAAAAAAAAATCAGGTCTCTCCCTACACTGATTTTATTTTAACTAAATTAAGTTTTAATAGCCACAAATAGAAAGCAGGAAATGGTGAAACGGTAAATTTCAAACTATTGATTCCTAAACTGTAGTGTCAAAAAAATGCGTCTTATAATTAAACAAAAATAATTATTGTACTCTTCGCCAACCTCAGCAAATGTATGTTTTTAAAAATTTAGTAAGGTATACTGTCATATCACCGCCACTATGGGGACATAAGCCGTTACATTCGAAAGAAAACTGTATTTAGCATACAATTTAAGTTAGACCCAGTTAGCAACAGAAAACGATCTGCTATTTATATCTTATCGGAAGGACAATAAAGAAAAAAAATCGATTCAAATAGTAGTTGACTGCGATCGATTTTTTGAAAACATTTATTTCGCTGTGTTAAATACCCCTCACCGTGGGCTTATCTAGCCTCTAAGTGTGGGCAAAGCTGTCGTGAACAGCTGAGAGAACAGGCGAACAGCTGGGTCATCTGGCCAGTTTCTGGGTGAGCCGTTTCTCAGAAATTTTCGTTTCAATTTTAGAAAGCAGCGAAATATAAATATATTTTTACAAGAGCGAGCGGCTGATATATTCAGTAGAAGCCATCAATACGACTTGGTGATTAGTGTTAGTACAGTTGGTCTATGTGAAGATATTATCTCAACTTATGAATATTTTATAAGGGCGTGGCCGATGCGAACGTTGAAATCTAGGACATAATTTGACAGCTCCCTTTTAGAAATGTTAGTAGGGAGTTTATTTAGTTAACAGTTGGGTGGAGGGGGGGGGGGGGGGGGAGAGGAAGGAATAGGACAATAGCAAAGGGGTGAAAAGGGGGGGGGGGGTGAAGATCATATCTTTTACAAAGCCAGAGCTAGAGAAGACGATTGTTCGCCCCAGGCCCAAGTGTGTAGAGTACACTAGACCGACCATTCGATGTAGGTATTAACATAAATAAGCCACAACACACACGTTGTCACAAAATGTTAGCATACGAACGTTGATATATGTATCTAATTTATTCTCATCAGTTTTAGAAATACCCCCCTCTTATTTATTTGAATTACGCTTTACGTCCACCGCCATCTCGAGAACAACATGGTGCCAGGAATATGAATTTAATACTAGTTTATAGTTAACTTAGATCTAGCGTTTGAACGTAAAAAGTTCGACATATGTTTTGAGGTTATTTTATATAATTATTGTGGAGCTATACTAGGAAGAATACACAGCTGTATGTTGAGCG